AATCCATCTTTCTTGTCTTGGTTTAATAATAAAAGACAATTGAATGACGAAAGTCGACTGTTGTCCTTTTGCTTAAGAAGAGCCTCATGGGGATTTTCTATGTGCGAATCTCACACTGGCATGTACGGAACGGAAGGGAAACACCGTGAGGAAACCGGCATGTTTCAAATAATAAAAAAATCGACATGTGTCAGACAGAAGAATAATCCTAAGAAACTACTTGTCTATGAAATAAAAATGATCAAAGAAACGGATTCAATCAGCTTTGTATGCCATGGGTTGTAGCGCCACGGGATTAATATAACTCACTGTTAATGGCAAAATAATAAGACAATTATTTTTTAGAAATAAAGTCCAAATTCATACTTTTTAAATATCATTATTTTAATGACATTCATAAGGGTATTTAATTCATAAAACAATCGAAGATGACCTATCACACGTCCGTCGCGTCCAAGCACCCGAATAGATAATGACATCAGATAAAGTTAATCAGCAAGACGCCCGTTCCTGACAGCTAAACGTTCTCGTCAGCTTCTTGGCTATACTTATCCTATTTCTGCTTGATTGGTCCTCTACAGTAGGATCGCTATGACCTTGGTCCTTATCGGAGGGATCTTAAGCTACCAATTGGTAGCTTACAATTGATACAATTGTATCATAGACATAGACATATCATTTATTACAAACAAAAACACACACACATAAACACACAAAATAACAATAATCAAAGAGAAAAAATTAAATAAAAAGATATTATGAGAGATATTCCAATTTTTTTCCTTCTCCCTTCGGTTCGTTTCAAGTATGTTATGCGTGTGTGCTGTGCCTGTAATTGGCCCTGGCTCAGCAATATGCTGAGGAGCAGAATGTTCCACAGCACTGGTCATTCTGCCAGAGACCACATAAGCTAGTTTGCGCCTTAGTCGCAAAAAAAAAGAATGTATTAATACTTAGTAGAAAATAATATTATAATAATAATAATACCTGCTAACTTTTACTAATAATATTAGTAAAAGTTAGCAGTGTAAGTAATGAAATCTTGTATAATGTAATGTGAAGTAAATAAAATAAAATTAAAAGTTAAAAATACGAATAATTGTTAAGAATTAGATAAATTTTTTGGGCGGATTGAAAACTAGATTTCGTGGGATTTTTGTTGAGTTAATAGATGAATTTTATAGCTACGCCTAAAATAAGACATCATGCTACCGTTTTTATCTAACGCTCGCATCAAGACAAGTAGCAATATGCAATTTCTATTAGCAATGCATGATATCAAAACTCAATTATTTCTGAAATAACACAATACCTGGAAAGAAAAAAAAAGTAAAAATGCAATGATGGATCTACGAATACCATAATAGCGGTGTACCTACGTGATACCAGTGTACGTTACTACTTCACTGAACCATGTGTTATGCGATTTGAGTCTTCTTCTCGTATGAACGGACCAATAACTGCAGTTCATATCGATCGTGTGATATAATGTTGTAGGGTCACGCATACCGGAGTCCAGTTCCGTTCTAAACGATTTGGGAACTCATAAACAAAACTGCTAAAAGAAAATTAACGTAGCCGTCGCTCATTAACACAATTATCTCTGTGTGTACAAAAATAGTACTTAACCCCAGATACCTATTTACCGTTGTACAGGATTGTTGGAGGCAGGTGCATTTTAGGCTTAATTTTGCAACCGCTAATGCGCCTCAATCATTCCCGATCATCTTAATAATGCAGGTCACGCGCCCGATATAACTCTGCACACGTCGAAGTCACTCAAACCAAGAGATCGAACGTAAATTTATAGTAATACCAGCAGACGGGCCAAGCGTTGCTGTGGCTAAGGTTTTTGTTATATTACATAGTAGCAAACTATTCAAGGGAAACGGTAGGAGAACACCAGTCATGGGGACCACCATGCTTTTTTGGTGGTTATGCCATTAAATTGTAGCTTATGTGAAACGTTGGTACTTTCAACACAGCGCCATCTGTTAGAATTGTGACTATCAAATAATAAACAAATATTTTATTGATATCGTTTCGGTAGTTTAGGAATCCATAGCGGACAAACAACGTGACACGTAATTTATATATATTAAGATTATTTATTAACCATGTATTTTTTGATAAATTATTATTTACAAATTATTTTACTTTATAACGATTTGAAGTGATGTTTTATACGGACTACTCTCAATCGGACATTTTTCACACGGTGAAATAGCCTATTAAAATATATTTAGAAGACTAAAAAGCATCAAGCATTATAAATTCATAAAAGAGTTTACGACCACCGAGTATAATGGCACTACATAAATCATATTTGGACCCAAAGAGGTTTTGTATGTTTTAGTTTTTGTTCTAATTATTTGATACATAATAAGAGTAGAGTAGAGTACGTTCAATGTTTAGGTCTTACAAGTATTTGTGTCAAAAACAACGAACATACTCTTGTTCAAAGCGTCAGTAGCCCTATTATCTTTTCCCGGTTTGTAAAGTAGATAATATTTATAGGATGATAGGTCCAAGCTGCCATCTGACAACTGTTTTATTATTAATATTTTGCTGGAATGTGTCTGATCAAACAGATTCTTCGTCAGTAATAGAATTGGAGTGCCTGCCTGTCACTGGCTGCCGCTTCAATTGGGGACTTTCACGACGACTTTTCAGAATCTGATAAACAACCTGAAAAGAATACAACAGGTTGACCATTCTAAGTCAGTGTAGCAGCAAGGACATTTTCAGATGCATCTATCTGTTTCTATTGTATCTGTTGAATATTGAATATTGTATCTAATATTATTATCTATAGCAACCAAAGAAGCTTTCGCAATCTCTCCTTTTAAGTTTTTGAATGAAACTTCTTCTTTTTCTGATAATGGTAACGTTTCTATCTATAAAAATAATAATATGACTCTTGGGTTCTCTTTATTATGTATCAATTTTGTTTTGCAAAAAAGGGAAAAAAAATATAAAGTGATAGCCTCCGTATGTAGCTGACCTTTCAGGGTATGGTACGCTCTTTTCTTTAAGACACCTAAGTCGTAACAGTTTGGAAATAGCTCTACCAGCAGCTGGTTTCACAAAGGTAGAAAAGTTGGAATTTCGCGACCTACCTCGACATTCGATGATGGAACTCAGTCGGGAGTATTGGTCCGAACAATTCTTCAGAGCACTCCCCATGATAAATGCGGTAGAATATGCTGAGGGAACCTACACCACTCCAAAGTATTAAGCCAATCTGAAACAAAAGGGTCGTCGATGATTCGAGCAGCTCTGCATTGGATGCGATTGAATGAAAGGGTGAGAGGCTGAGGTGATAAAAGTACTCGAAACTCAGCTGCAGATTATTAGTCCGAACAACTCCTCTGATCAGTCGCCATGGTAAATGCGGTAGAAGATGCAGAGATATCCCACATATCTACGCAACGCCGAGGGATCCAGCCGCTCGGAAAGTGACTGGTCGTCGACGATTCGAATCGCTCTTCGTTGAATAGGGCCAAGCGGAAGGAGCTGGTACTGGGGAGCTCCCGCCCAGAGGTGAGAACAGTACTCCATGTGGTGCCGAATTTGTGCTTGATAGATTTGCAAGCGGTGGCCTGGGGTGTAGTACCGTCTCGTCTTGCTGAGCAAACCAAGCTTCTTAGAGGCTAACTTAGCCTTTCCTTCCTAATGACCGCGAAACTGAACGTCATTCGATATGTCATCACCCAGTATCCCGATGATATCTGATAATCTGAGGCTTTAAGGAGAGAGTCATCGAAGAGAGGAGTATTTCTTTGGATTAGTAGTAGTTCGACAAAATTAAGTTCCAGACAGAGAAACCTAATAATAATAATAATGTAATAGGGTTTCGATTTTAGACGCAAGTTTCTTCAACACTGCTCGACATCAACGCTAGTTATATTGGAACGGTTTTTTTTTAAATACCACGCAGAGCGTATTGCCACAGACAAAGGTAAGGAAAACGAGGAATTTTACATAGAACGTATTAGAACGTTAGGTATTAAAGTTGACCCTAGTGTTGTCACCCGCATATTAATGAACGTTGATTGACTGCAACATATCATTAATATGCAGAAGGAACAGTGTTCCGTAACAGTATCTCAAAGTACAAAGCCTTGGGAAACTCCAGCATTTACAAGTTTTAAGTAGGAGCATATAGCATAGCATAATTTATTATAATAGTTTTTAGTATTTTTTTCTTCGTGGTACTTTGGCTTTTATATCTTTAATATGAAATTTTGTAGTATTATTATTATATTGTACGGAAAATTTCAAAATGTATCCATTTTCAGATTATTTGTATACAAATTCATATGGCGTCAGTGGGTCACGCCTGTTGAAAAATGACTTTGTCTCAGTGTTGCCAGATGGTCTCAGCGACGTACCCCTAGACTAACTTGATTTCCCCCCAGAAATCCCCTGAGATCCCTTCAAAATACAAAACATTATAAGTATTGTGTAGTAAATGTAATTTATTACTGAATTTTCATGTAATTTTAGAATTTGTATTTAATTAAAATCACATCGTTCTTTGACAGCTCAAACGAATATACAATTAGTATGTTAACCACACGGATCCTATTCTTACGACGTGTTCGTACTTCAATTTAGTTTCAAAAATTAGGAACGTGATATATAATAGCAAAAAAACTGTATTTGGTTTGTTTTTGAAATTTCCCCTAAAAAGACCCCAAATATTCTTTCCCCCTATTCTGCCCCTAACTCGGTTGAGAACCCCCTAAATCTAGGGGGAAATCCTGATCTGGCAGCACTGCTTTGTCTTACCAGTCATCTTCACAAGTAATAAGTGGCCAATTTACAATAGCCCTTATAACTCTTTTCTGAACTACTTAAATATTCAATGTAATTTAGACTCTGTTAAAAATAAGTTTGACTTCTTACAATTTCTAAGTGATAAATCAGAGTTTTATATTATATATACCGATGGTTCCAAATGTGAGACTGTTAAGGCAGCATTCTACGACCCAGAAATGAAATTAACTAAATGCTTGAGATTACCTATAACTTGTAGTATATTCACTGCTGAGGCTTGGGCAATATTAGCTGCTTTAACATATGTAAATAGTAATGTAAATAATGTAAATATTTTGGTTGTAAGTGATTCTAAGAGTGTTTTAACAGCATTGGGTAATTGTAGTTTAGGATATAAACAGAATTATATTGTATATAAAATTAAGGATTTACTGTACAAGTTAGAAAAGCATGTAGAATTTGTATGGGTACCCTCCCACAGTGGTATAACTAGCAATGAGGTTGTGGACGAGGCGACTCGTCGGGACCATGATGATGATTTAACAGACTCTTTCAAAGTGCCTTTCACAGACTATTATACGCAGATAAAGATTCATCTCAAGAGAAGATGGAAAGAATATTGGAACTACAATACAGAGATATTAAATAAAGGACAATGGTACTCAGAAATACAGAGAGATTTACCAATGATCCCGTGGTATAACAGCTTCAAATACATTAATAGGAAGTTCGTGTAGGACACTGCTGTGTTACAGCACAGAAAATGCCGATATAAAGCATGTCTTGTTCGAATGCGAAACGTTTAATATCCAACGTTTATTACTTGCAAGTGTCATTAGTGATGTCGCAGAAGAAAATTCATTAAGTGTTCCCCGCCGCCCTCAAGATTTACTATCTTATCGTGCTTTTTTCTTACCTGTATTTAAATTTATTTCAAACACAGTTGAACAAATTTAATTACATAGAGTTAATTGAAATATTTCCAATTGTATAGAATAGTTTTGTGTTAAGTTATTTAGTTTTAATATATTATACTTAATTTGCATATAATTACAATTTGTATTAACGTAATTGCTTAAGAATGTTCATGCTAATATTATATTTATTATTCATGGTATAAATATAACATTTGCACTTTACCATTACATACTTTTAAGGACCTGTAATTCTATGATTCCGACTGAAGGACTCTGTATCCATGGTTATGAAATAAATTATTAATAAAAAAAATACCAGTCATCTGTCACCGATTACTTCGGGTTCGGACTTCGGGGCCCGAGGGTACCATTTACCATGACCAATCACCAATGTTGAACGTACTAAGTACTTCATTAATTCAAATTATAGTAGTGAATCGTGTTTATTAAGTATACTCTTCGACCTTTGACCTAGATAAGATTATACTTTTAATTTAAATGGGTGATAACGGATAAAGAGCGTGGTAATAAGTGATAAAAGCGTAATGCCAAAATAACCACAAAATCATAAATTATTTTTCCTGGAACAGACGCCAAAAACAAGGATAATCATCCGATCGCGTTTGTTTGCAGTTTATTTTGTTACACCATAATATTAATAATATAAGTTATAAGAGTTAACTAGAATCACAAAGATCAAACGCAGTATAATCGTGGTGAAGTGAATATGGATAAAAAATTATCACTCAAGGAACTTATGACCGCCTATCAGAGATGGGTTATTAATAATCCATCTTTGGTAACAGACGTAGAAACAGTGGCGACGTGGTCCTCTTATTTTATTGCTGGTAAGATCAATAAATCACCTATTGTTTCAGAACTTGTATATGCATTATCTAAACTACTTTCCTTATTTAATGACAAGATTATTAACGCTGCATATGGCAACAATGCTTCCCAATTCAGTTTACAAGAACAGATAAAATTATGGCTCACAATTGTCCATTATTGTGAAGTTTTTGTTGAACTCGCTGTAAAATACAAGTGTGGTACTCGTGGAAAGTGGACAGCAGCAATAATAATACAAATGTTTAAATGTTCATCTGCATTGGTATTGCTCTATAGATTTAAAGATATACCTATACAACATCCACCAATACCAGCATTACAACGAAAGAAATTTACTGAAACAGTTGAGTCTGAAGAAAATAGAGATGCTTCTTTTACCTTAAAAAGGTCTGGTAGAGTTATCCGTAGGGTGGAAGGTGCACCACCTATAAGTCTTCGTGATTGGCAACCTATAAAAGTGGAAGACAACAGCATTCCGTCTGCTATTGAAATAAGAGATTTGAAACATGCAGAGTTAATACATATATTTAAACCAATAGTACACCTTGGTGCAATGAAACTATTTGGTACTAAATCCTGGAAGCAGTGGCTGATTGCTTTGGGATTAGATGTTACTAGTTTTCAACTATACAATAAGCACATGAATGAAATAAGCTATGAGCAAAGGTTAGAAATAAGTAGAAGAAAGTTAAGTCTGGTTTTGTATCTATTGAGAAGTCCTATGTATAATAGTTACTCCAAAAGGGTTATTGAAAATTTCCTTGAATCAACTTCCAACAAAATACCAGCAATGTCTTTTATTTGTCAACCTATAATACAGTATTTAAATCATTGGCAAGATATATACTTTTATATGTGGGCTATGTGATGAATTTATTAATTCGTCAAATATTATTGTATTTTGAGTGTATTAATGTTATATTATTGTATTTGAGTATGGATGGGTTTAAGTTTATTGTGTATGATTATTAAAGATAACTCTTTAAAATGATGGTGTTTATCTAAATTTGTTTTATATAGTATGCCTTGCTCTTCATTTTGTTATATATTCAAATAATTTTATTGAAAAAAATTTAGATTTTATAAAAAGTGCTCCATTGTTAACAACTTTAATATGAAATATGTTGTCAGTGACTAAAATTATTTCATACTAAGTAATCAATTATTATAAAACTTCAAACATACTACAGATATTAAAAGATACTATATATATATATAATATAGTATATTTTAATAAATTATATAAAAAATTGTTTACATTTAAATTGACATGCAAAGATTTAAATAAATGTCAGATATTTAAAGGGATGGGGCAAATGTGAAAATAAAATCATGACATATTCTTTATTATGCGTTTCACCATTGTTATAATTATTGACTTACCATAATTGTAATAATTAGAGCTAGAAATGCAGTTATTTTTACATTTATTGAAACATTGAGGACACATTATTCATAATAGGTATACACTTTTATTTAACCTGATAAGTATATATTAAAAATGTTTTTGGTTTTATTAAAAACCAATTTTGTACTTAAATCAAGTAAGTAATTATATTAAAAAATATTATCATATATAAACTCTAATCAATTTAACATACATCTATCATCATGTGTCATTAGACACTAATAATATAAATCTTGAGAAAAATTTAATACTTAAAATACTTGTTCTATATAATATTTCTAATTGATTTAATCATTACATCTATTAATCGAGTTGCCTTCTTTGATGAATAACAGCATAGCCAATAAGTTCCTGTAGTTCCAAGTAGACCTGAAAATTATATTATTTAATTTACACTTAAAATCTCTCTTTGTGTGTGTTTGTAATAAAACTTCTAAATGGCTGGAAAAATAGATCTTTTTTTTTAATAAAATTTGTTAATCATTAGAGTTAATCTGTGTCATAATACTAATAAAACAAAGGATCAGCATTTATGTTGCATGAAAAATTATGACTAATATACTTTCAAGTGGTGCTGATCCAGAACTCAGTCAAATTGTTTGTATTAGCTTTAGTTTTTGAGTAATAGTATTTATAGATACTAGAAAAACAACCAATACTTAAAAAAAATATTTTATATGATTTTCTTGCTTGGCTTTGTTCTCGAGGTCTGTTACTAGTACTCCAACAAAGACCTTCATGTGAAGCATTCCAGTGAAATAAAAAAATAAAAATGTTTATTATGGAACAAAAGATACAGGTATCACTAATTCAATGTCATTAAATTTGAAACGGTAGACATCCCTATTCATCGGCAAAGAAGACAGAGGGTGTAAAAAGCCGGCGTAAAACACTCTCGGTACTCTTTTAAAATAGCAAATCATCAAACAACACTTATTTTTTAAAACAAATATCGCAAATTAATTAGAAGTAGCCTGTCTAGCACTAGTCCCACAGGCCCTTTTATCAATTAGATAGTCGTTAACTTTATAGTGACCCTGGTAATGTTCCTCAATATTGTAAATGTTTTAATGAAACTGTTCCCCTTGTTCTTCACTCATACCACCAAGATTTTGTGCAGTCCAAAAGAAATCATTCCAGGCTCTTTTTTAATCAGTCATGTAACTATTAAAGTTATCAAAAAATCTGCTTTAAGTTTCTCTATACTCAAATTTTAAAATTTTATCACAACTTTAACATCCCAGCTTTCACAAATTGTTTCATAAGTTGTATTTGATATGTAAAAGTGGCAGTATTATGCAAACCAAAAGAACATTAGAACAAAAATCAAAGTCTTTATCTGCAGAAAAGAATGAAAGCAATGCAGTTTCTTGGTAAGGTTACTATGAAATTCTTGTTTCTTAGGTTAAAAGATTTCATTACTTTAATTAAAAAGCTATGATCACCAATGCTTTTTTAGAAAGGTCTGACTAATGAATTGAGGTCATCCTATTAAAAGCTTGGAGCTCAGAAAAAAATATCTGGTATAAAATAAATTGCCATACTTTCATCACTTGAAGAGATTTTTCTGGTCTTACTCGTGGTTAATTCATGTAGATGAAGGAGCTTTGGGAACTAGCACATTGCTCGAGTACAGGACTGGTTGAAGTAAAGATAACAAGTTAGGTAAAAACCATTTTGGTTGTTTTCTTAATCTCATTATATGAACCACACAAATGATTTGATATCTTGAAGATTGGAAAGTTCCCGCCACATCAATGGTGGTGGTACTTACAATGGGTTCTTTTCTTATTCGCCCATAATATCATATGAGCAATCCAGTACTTATCGCGGGTGTTCCAAAGGAATCCACAGTAATTAATTTACATCTGCTTTTGAACTCCAACACATTTAGTAATTTTTGAAAAGGATTGCTATTTATTGATATTTCTCATCTTCGACAAAAAAGTAGTTTAAAAGATCTTTAAAAAAACATCTTGGTTGATTTGAGTTTAAATGTGACTAGCTATAAAAATATGTCTGATAGTTATATCTCAAAAACTAGAGCTGCTATAGGTTTATCTTATTCTAATCAGAAACCTCAAATTAGTAAACAACAGGCATTAAATGTTATGGGTTGATATCACAAAAATCAGATAGGCCGTCTGATGATAAAATCTTATTGCAGGTCATATGTCTATAAAGCCAGCAAGACTGCTTAAAAACTAACTAAAAACAAAAATAACGTAACAATTTATACAAATTTTATGTATATGGGAATAATTACCTAATTATTGAGCCAGTCCCAGGAATCATCATCTGCATTGGGTTTTTTCTTAATGGTAATGTTCTTCAAATCTAGAGGTGGACTGGATATACCAACTTGAGACAAATCACGCGTATCAATGTTGTTTTGTGTAGCCACAGATTTCCATGGTGGCTGTGATTGCTCGTCCCTAAAAAGAATTGGTAGTTGAATTTTTAAATAAATATTTATTTCTAGTTACTTTAGGCTGACTATGGATGAAGTGATATGAATATAAAGTACAATTACAAGTGATAGATGGTATAAAATAGATTAAATTTCCTGTCAGAATGAATGAAATAAATATCTATTTATTATACCTTAAATGTTACTTATGGAATGCCTGTTATAATATTAAAGAGAAGGATGTAATTATCAAAATAAATTCAGAAATCATAAATTATGACATTTAATATTATAGAATAAAATTCAGAGTATTTTGTTTATCATATTTAGTTTATTTACCATTTAGGGAATGGTTCCGAATTAGAAAACTTCATAGCGCCGTAACTTTGTGGTTGGTTATCAATACTAGTATTGCTTGCTCGACGAGGTTCAGATGTGCCACGTAGCGAACTCCAACGACCGCCACGGATCACCTAATAAACGAATAGTAATGTTAATCCATCCTAAAATTCAAAACAGCTTCTCAATTTCCAGTATTTTTAAGTTGAGTCAAAATGTAAATATGACAAAAGAGTCCGTAAAACTGTGCTGCATTTTTTATAATAGGTTATGGTGCGGTAAGTCTGTCTTTCTAATGTTGTTGTTACCCCTTTTTCTATGCATGGTTTCAAATTTACAAATTATTATTGTAAAAAATACAAACACACTATCTGTCGGGGATGTCGCTAAGATATATTATGTAAAAACAAACATTTTTTTTAAATATAGACATAGATTACCCTTTCTGCAACTACACTTGTCATTTCCGAGACTTTCTCAGTAGTTGAACGTGCTGCTTTAGTCATGGAAGTAGCAAATAATGACCAGCCCTTAAAAAGTAAAATTATATTTGTTTATTCACCATTAAAAAATATAAGATATTATTATAGTTAAATATATATGAAAAAATTTAAATTTATGAATTTTAATAGTACAATCTTTGTTTTACCCATTAACATAATATCATTGGGCCAGTTTGCCACCAGCAAAAATAGGTTAGTTAATCAAATTCTTAGCACCATAAGATAATACTCACAGATGCCAATGAAGACAATGCATTGTCCATTATTTGGTTATGATTATCAGGAGAAGTTGGTCTAGATTGAGACTGTTGAGTATTTCCAAAGCCTGTGTAACGGTTACTACCATACTCACTGCTAATGAAAAAGTACTGTTAAATTTATTAAACCTAATAGAACTACATTAGACTTAAAGACTAAATTAATTAGAATCAGACTTAGAGGGTCAGACTTTTCAAGAAGGGTCTAGTTTTGTTCTAGTAAATATAACAAAAATAAATTTGATGCAATTCAATAATTAAAAATGTTCAGATCTTTACATATAAAACCTAAAAGTTAGTAAAAACTCTTACTGATAGCTGATATTATTTTCAGAGCCACTGCCATGAAAAGAAGTTTCATCAGATGAATAAGAATTCTGTGATTGATTCCACTGTGTAGGGCGTTCAACTACTTCAGGTTTAAAATCAGAAGGACTCCAATCAGAGCCAACAGCTAGAGCAGATATCTAGAAGAAAATGTATAGTATTATATTTAAATAAAAACAGTTGATAATGTTAATAATAACAAGTTCATACCTTCTGCCTGTACATAGCAGCTGCTTTGGTGTTATATTTCTGAGTTATCTTCATATCAGGGGAATAATCAGCCTGTTCTTCAAAGAACTCTTTAGCTCTAGAATTTCCACCAACCTAGATATGTGTAACATTTTAGTTATCAAGTGATTTAAATTACATATTATATAAAGTGCTATAGTAATAATATATATATATATTTTCAATGATAATAACATTAAACAAATAAGCATATTATAATAGAAAGGTTTTCTAGTTTTTAATCTAATGGGATGTAGTATTCTGCGTACAATTGCTCCTCTGTGATCATATTTCTTTATAGGTAATTTGTTATTAGGTACAACAAATAGTTCATATTTTGTTTATATTATAGTTATATAGTTTATACTATATGAAACATGAAGATAAACCAAAAATAAAATGTAATGTTAGTTAATTTTTTTTTTTAAAAGAGAGCAACACAGTAATATTTTACATCTAAAAAAATAATGGCACACCTTCAAGAGACTTGTACTTAATAACTATGTATTAAAAACTATTATATCAGATTATAACAAAGTGAGTGAGCAAAATATAAATGATCACGAGTGTTAACAGTAAGTATTATATTTTGTATAACGTCTTAATACTCACTATCATTTTGTCCAATTCTATATCTTTCCATTTGTCCATAGTTACAGAACGTACAAAAGAAAGATGTACACCAAGACTACGATGAACGCCAGAGCACTCCAAACAGATCCATATGCCATAAGTTACCGAAACCCATTGTGGATTTAAAGTACCACATTCAAAGCATTTCTATAAAGTAATAAACAATAAATGAACCTCTTTGAAAAATAGTAGAATAATATAGTAAGAAAAATAATACAATTAACTCATACGTACTTCGTTCTCGTGTAAGTTACGAATTGAATTTAATTTGCGACGTGTCCTAGGCGAGGCCATAATTATATTTACAATTACTATTTTACTACACACTAATATTATCTAGAAATAAGTTTCTAACTGGTAGGATAAAATATGTAATAGATTCGAATTCGATTATTTTTTTAAATTACGTGGAACTTCGAAATATATTCGATCCTACAGTTTAACACAGATTAGTGATTACCTATTTACCACAGATCAAGTAGACAGTATACTGCACATATTCTATTAAGTCCGTGTGTATGTAAATTTAATAGATAATGCACTTTATTTTTTAACCACTTATAGGTCGTGGATTGAGTCAGTTGCGTTTTGCAAGCCTAAAATTTACATTAACATTTTAATTTAATTAGAAATACGAACGTAGATAGTAATGTTTCATGTGTGTCACAGAGATACAAAAGTTAGGTTGGCTAGGTTTATTGCCACTTCCAGTAAAGCTCCGGCACGGGTTCCCGGGTATCCGGGTTGAGGAAGTTGGAAGGAATATAAGGTTGAGTGTGGTGTTTTACAGGGGTTCGTTTTGGACCCCATCCTGTGGTACATCTGATATAAGTACGTTCTTCATGGCACTACTGCAAGGTCTGCCTAATAAGTGTTGCCAATGAGACACTTATCACGTCAGAAGGTCGAATAAACTGGGGCCTTAGTCAAGATGCCTTAACAGTAGTTTCTACATACACTACTGTTAAGGCCCTAGAAAGCATCTTGCATGCTCGCGACGGCGGGGGTGGCACAGATTGTAGAGTATATTCTTGATCTGAAGTCGATCAGAATTGTAACTAACTTGTTTTTAAAAATCGAAACGATGCTGGAGAAAGTTTATGTGTGGGGTAATAGCAACCATGTTAAGTTCAACCCTACAAAGACTCAGGTTTGTTCGTTTTCTGCCAAGAAAGATCCCTTTGTCGTGTCTCCTAATATTGAAGGCGCTCTCCTTAGAACTTCATACAGCCAAAAAAGTCCAATACCGCAGTAATCTGAAAGGAAAAGCCAAACTGGCTTCCAAACAGCTGGGTGTTTCGGGTAGAGCTAACCAATATTTCACTGAGGTACAGCGTATGCACTATGCACCTCTACACGGCTCAAGTACGACCTTATGGAATACTTCACACACTTCTGGGCTGGTGCTCCCAAATACCAGCTTCTTCCTTTTGATCAAATTCAGTGAAGGGCCTGTCAAAGTTTTAAGTTAAGTAATTTTAGCATTATTTTTAGAAATCCACGGCAATTTAGCATTGTTTTTAAATGACGTTTAGCACCTATTCGAGAAATCGAGTTGGCAACCCTGAACTGTGGTGACTGGTGAGAGCTGAGATTTGTAATATATTATAGACTCATCAGTGATCAGTCAGTCTTTACTGTTTAAATTTTAGTTGTGTTCAATACTATTTACGAATTATTAAATAAGTCCCTAATTGTTAAACAATACTTTTAAATATACTGATAATATAATCAGCAGTTTTGGGGACGTGATTAACATTTTATTACACTTCGTATTCGCGGCTTTTGCGGCATCCGGTTGCTACTTCATATAATATACCAATTGTTTGTACGAGATCGCAATATGGCTCTAACTAACATTGAAAAGGAATATGAAGATTTTGTAAAGAAGAACTCTTGGTTACTAATTTATTACGTATGTATGAAAAGTAATCGAGCATTACTTTTTTATATGTGCCACGCGATAAAAGGCTGAGTACCCACATGTGATATTTAATTAATGTATCCTTTTAGATGCAATCTTTTCTTTAATTATAATCGTGATTGTTTTAGGTTCACATAAAAGCTTGTTATCACAACAACAGTGCATAATTTACTTTCTATAAAACTACTTCTACCTTCTTTAGTATTAGACTAGCAGCACATTTTTTTTAAATACTCTTTAAATACCGTCATACAATCTGAATCAAGTTGAAGTATTAATTAAACTTAACCTTTTTTTTTCAGAAAATTTGTAGAGAAGGTCAGTCACAGAATTTAACTACTATAGAAGCTAAAAAACCTCATAACAAACACTTAAATAGGTATAGAGATGTTAGCCCATATGACCATACACGTGTTAAATTGAACCGAATCGAAAGGGATTACATCAATGCCAACTATGTAAATGTATGGTTTTCTTCCCATATTTAATTTTTATTCTAGCTGAATGAGTAGTTATTAGTAATACTATAAAATTGCAGATACCACGTGCAAACAGAAAGTATATTCTTACCCAAGGACCATTAGCCGCCACTATGGGACATTTTTGGCTCATGGTATGGGAGCAATGTTGTACGGGCATAATAATGTTAAACAGATTGATTGAAAATAAGGAGACAAAGTGTCACCAGTACTGGCCCGGTGAAGTTGGATCAGAGTCTATTTATGAAGATGTTCAGTTGGCAGTCACACTTATTAGTGAACAAAATAAAAATTACTACATACTCAGAAAATTCAAGTAAGTGCTTCTCATCATTATATAAAACATTTTTCACAAGAAAATGAGGAACTAAATTTTTAAAGTTTTGATAATCCTTTATTATTGTAAGTAAACTATAATAAAATTTGTTTTGTTATAATATAATATATGTATAATTTATTTTGCTTATGATCTTGCTATGCGTTACTATCTAATAACTTAGTTTTTAAACAATTTTTTAAGAGATATCTAACTAAGAAATTTCACTTAACTGACATTTTACTTTTTGTGTGTGTTTGTCCATAATACCATTTCAGCTATAGCTGCTATAAAAGTATAGATATTTACAGTTACTGGCCACATGAGATTTTTCATAATTTATATTTTTTATATTATAAATTTTGTTGGGGACAAATAATTTTTAAATATAATTCTACGTTATGCAGTTGAAATTGTTTCAACTTTTGTTAATTTTATGTGATTGTATTTATGTGTTTTGTAAACTATTTGCGGTTGTACTTGGTGTCAAAGAATTTCTTATATTTATCAGTCAAACTTCTTGAATTTTTTGCCTTCTCTACAACTGACAATTGTGAGGCATTTTTCATGATGAGTCAAGGTTTTTTACTTAAGCCTTAGCAATTATTGTTAAAATTTGTGTATCAATGGCAACTAAATAGTTCTTTCTGGTATAAAAATGTTATGTTTGCAATATTGTTGCAATGTTTGACATGCTTTAATCCTTGGAAGAGAAAATTATGTGATTATATTAACAAAGGCTTATGTGAAAATAAAGTTTTATTTCTTTTGAGCTTCTATTGTAATGAATATGGCTTTGCAAATGTATTTCAGGTTACTGACAGTTGTTATGTTTGCGATTGTATTTTTCTTCTTTAAATAAAATGTTATGATATTATACAGAATTTTTACTATATTAAATTTTGACAAATTTATAACAACTTGTGTATGGTCTTATCATATTATCACATTTGATATTATTACAGACTGCAAGATCTGGAGAGCATGAAAACGCGAGAAATCTTACAATTCCACTACATAACATGGCCCGACTTTAAAGTACCAAAATCACCAACACAATTTTTAGAATTTTTGAATGATGTTCGGTCTTCTGGAATTTTGGAGTCTAGTGGACCACCAATTGTACACTGTAGTGCAGGAATCGGTCGATCCGGTACCTTTTGTCTTGTGGACTCTACCCTTTTTAGTGTAAGTAGCTATGAGTTTTAGAACCTTGATAACACAGAAATGTATCTAGCAATTCATAAAATATACAAACACAACATAATAATACAATAATCTACTAAGTTGTAATTTTTGTTATTGTAATAAATATAATATTGTGAATAATAATTATACTTTTCATTTTGTAGATGGAAAGTGAAGGAGTTAACAATGTAGATCTTAAGGAAATATTAAAAAACATGCGGACACAGCGAATGGGTTTAATTCAAAACACCGATCAATTCCGTTTCTCATATCTGGCGATCATAGAAGGTGTCAAAAGATTTGATCCTAATTACGTGAGTTAATATTTGTAATTAATTGATTATATAATTATATTAATGTGTACCACACACTGCACTAGGCATGCATTTTTGCTGTTGGGTCAATAAACTTTAAATATAAATTCTTATTCCATGTGGTATTTCTATACCAATTCGTGTAGATATCTTCTGTAAATGCAAGTTCGCTGATAATAACCTATGAATTTTATTTCAATGGACAGAAAGAGGCAGAGGAGATATATTCTGAGGTTGATGTTTCATCATCAGAAACTTTAAATATCGATCCATCATGTGCACCGCCTTTGCCACCGCGTGGAGCGAGTCTCGAAACTCGTCCGTGCTTTGGTCCACTGCCACCAGTTCCAGTGGACTCTATCCAAGGTATTTAAAACCAACTATTGTCTACACGATTTAGTAGCTTGCCAATAAAAGGGCTAAATAAATTAACATGACTAAATCACCTACATTGTAATAACCGTCTCTCATAAACGGTAAGAGCGTCTGTTGTATTTGTCTTAAACCTATTTAAGTATGATATATGTATTATACACATATTTAATATAGATATATGTGTATAATAAACATATTATTACAGATGATTTGTGCAGTTCCAGTGACAGCTCAGAATATAATTCACCATCACGATTCGGACACCTCGAAGACGATAAAAAGGAAGAATCAGAGGAGCTGTAAGTCCTATCTTTATTTATTATGCACCTAAAAATTTATATTTTTGAATAATTCCTACTGGCACTAATCATTTTCTTTGCCGGTTATTTGTACCATACATCAAGATAACATATAACTCTTTGATATTAGAATTAGGAACAGTACCTTACCTATTGACCTCTTCTACGCTTTTCGTTACGTAGACACAATTCTGGGTTACTGGATAATTTCTCCGTGCTCCTACAACTTGCCCACTGCCCAGTCCTTCTGCTTTTTAATAGTCTCTTGTTCTGATCATGGATTGTTCATCTATCAGCTGGTATCTTATAATTCCGACCATACTTCTACCTCCATTGCGTATTGAAATTTTATAGTTTCTTGATCTCCGATACTACTGGTGCCCATATGGCATGACATCCATAAATTTTTATTATATTGTAAAGACAAGGGTGTATTTCTATAGCCCAAGAATATTTCGACCTGTTAGATATTCTTCTTGAAATGAAACGACAAAACTGACCAATTCATCGAGCACATCCAAACAGCTACAGATTATCTGCTTGAAAGGGTTCTGACCGCTGAAATAATGATACTTGGCGATTTTAACGCACACCCGAGCCAGCCAATCGGCATGGCTCTTCTCTGAAACTATCGATCACGCGGGAAGATCCTTTCACGACTTTGCTTAAGCCTTGCAAGACGGTTTAATTTTAAGGCGGCCTTGCGTCATAAGCGAGAATGCGTTAAAGACTAGGCAAAAGCGGCGACATCTTGTCATGCGACTAGCAGCGAACTTAAAAAATCCATATAACCCGGTCCAGGTCAGGTCATATCAATGACATATTGCAATTTAGCGACATTCATTGCTATGGGCAATGGGGATACTCTTTACTCTGGCCGTGCCGGTATTTGTCGATCAGTACCCGAACAATTGTGAGATATTGGCGAAAGTCACAATATTATCTGGGAATCTTAGATGTGTTACTTAATTTTCATTAATGTTAATACATCATTATCACATTCTATATTTCGAAAGACCTTTTCTACAAAAGCAGATTTTTTTTTTAAATTAGTATCTTATATATTTCTTAGCAACCTTTAATATATTAGGTCCTTACATATGAAATTGGCGTATTTCGTACTGGCCACTTTAATAACGATGTTCTCCTCTTTGGTAAGGAATTCCAAATTCAAATTTGTACAGCTATTTAGGGCTGCCACACAAAACTGCGAATTCGCATCGCATCGCAAATATCTGCGAATTCGCACGAACGCAACACAAGAATTTCCGATCTGCTTCGCATCGCACATTCCTGCGATTTTACCTCATCCTTGGTGACACCATTTTAGTCCGCTCTGAGACAAACAATTTAAATGTCAATAAATACATTTTGTTTTACTTTACCTGATAGTCAGTCCCAGCATTTCCAAAGGCATAACAGGAATTCTTCCCTTGTACGATCGTTATTGAAGGCATGGTGATAATATACTCAAAAGCTCTTCAAATGAAGATATGCTCATTCTAAAATAATAAAAAAAATTATCTTCAGTTCTCAACGCATAGTACTTTTGAATAAAATAGTTCCCATCAGAGTTCATAATCGTAATGAATGGATGAACCCAGAATCTTCTTTTTCTTTTATATCTATTTAACAATAACAGCAGTGCAATAATCTTTTTGCGATCCATCTTACGCTTCTTAAAAACACGTTCAGTACGGCTGGCTTCGAAGGAATGGTCGCCCTACTAAACGGTTTGACGCATCGCATCGCATCGCAGTTTTGTGTGGGATCCCTAACTCATGTATTTGTGCTTCGATGACCGTCATTCATTTGTCATTCCGTCAGACCGGCAAACCATGATGGAAAAACTACTTCGTTCTACGTTCATACTTTGATTAATTAAATATATTATATTTAAAAATATTCGACTTTTTGTTCCTCCCATACAAAACGCCAATTTCATATGTAAGGACCTAATATAATTCTTCTCGATTAATTGGTTGATCAGAGTCCTCCAAATTTTGACATGAATCTAGTAGTCAATAGCTTCGATATTCGATAATCGTTATAATTCGCGTGTATTTTATTAAATTAAAAATTAAAGGATTCAATTAGCCAATTTTGTTATACCAATACCAAGTTGATGAACGTACCTAATTTGGTCGCAAACAAAACTAGTATGACAATGGTTTTGTTAGACGACAAAAATGAAGAAATTATTCATATTAGCTTGAAGCACTTTCATACTATTAGATGTAAACATATACAATTTAGAAATATTAAAATTATTCATCATTAATCTTACCTATTTTTTCTTCTTACAGGTTCACAAAAACAAGGTAAGTTAAATAAATATATCAGTTAGTTTAGGACCGCAATTATCTCCTAGGGAATCAAAACTAGGAGACAATTGCGGTCTCGTCAATAATATCTCGAAATAATAGACACAGGAACTTAGCGTTGTAAAATGCTTAGGTTTAATTTCCAGAGAGTAAAAATGTATTGGTTTACTATTAGGACTAAACATATAACTCACTCTGGGTTCAGGTAAACGTAAGTCACAGAGCTTATATACATTTTTATTGAGTGTGTGAAGTCACATAGCAATATTCTGGTTGAAATTAATTAAATTAAGGCGTGCAGACAAGAAAAGGTCAGCAGAGTTCTTTGATGTTACATAATTTTCATATCTATTCCAGCCAAGAAGGCCCGACATTAAGAGTAAAGGCTGGGACACAAAACTTGCGAAGACCTTTGTGGCGACTGTCAACACCAGAACCGGAGAAAAAACCAAAAAAACCCAAATGGCTGCCAATATCTATCATTATGGCATTAGGGATCTTCGCAATTGGATTTATTTACGTGTACTATTAACCTTTTTATTAGACATATATTAGTTCATAATTTGTGCAATTAACATCTATATCATGCATGCAACACAGTTTTAAGACTGTAATGTTATTAGTTTGTATCATAAGCAATTTTATATTTCTGTAGAAGACTCAATTGTGATTGCTACTCAATTGGCGGGGGGTGAAGTGGGCCCTTATTGTCAAATTGCCTATTTACTTTAACACATTGTAGACAGTTGGCAATGGCAGCATGAGGGTCTGTCCGTTGTTGACTGATCAGAGAAATTAACAACACAATGTTAAGATTTACAAAAAGAGGAAGAGTGCATATAATAATACATTGGATTCACTGCCATTTTTATGGATTTCAAATGCTGTATTATCTACAATTTTTTTAGGTAAATATAATATGCAGGTCATTTTATTTTGTCGGTTGGTTTAGTGTCTATTACAAAAGTTTTTGAGTGCCGTGCGTGCGTGTATTGATTCAAAATCATATACAAGCTTAGAAGAAAATAGAAATGACCTTTTATATATAGTTACTTTCAAACTATTTCACATATATTTATTTTCGAGCAAATTATACACTTTTATAATCATGTATAAAAGTGTGTTTAGTTGTGTCCTGAGATTTTCAATCTTTTTTTATTCGTGCCTGCATTTCCGTATTCTATGGAGAGGTGCATCTGTCATTTCTTCTTTATCTAAAATTAGCGCACAAAAGTATAAAGATCAACCTCGGCTATGTAAGAGCGCACTCTAATTGTTTAAAACTGCAGACCGGTATGAGAACGCGCGTCGTATGTGAAAATCAGTCTTTTATATTGTATTAGGTCTTTAGGTATGAAAAGCCCACCGCTAAGTATAATGCCAATGTATGGACCTATTATTATGAAATTAACCTTCTTTCCTTTCTTATATTATTTACATTCCTACGAAATGTATCCCTAGTATTTGTATATTTTTCAACAGATAAGTTCGGTAACAAGATATTATATTACTATAAGACTATTATATTCATTGTTATCTAATCTATCAATGACTTTCTATTAACAAAGGCATGTAACACATCAATTAAATTGTATACTACAACGTAGTTCCTATAGATTTTAGAAATCATGTTGTTGTCTAAAAAAATGTGTAACAGTTTGGCAATCAAAGGTTCTACTTTACAACCCTCAAATAAATCGCCTCTACGTAAGATATGTGGGTGATCCGGCTTAATTGTAGGAACGCCAACCCACAATACAATTAAGTTATACATTTGCATGCCTTTTGTACCGAAAACATTTAAAATAATTATTCAATAAATAGTATGAAATCGTATTGTCTATTTTTATTTGTTAACACATGCGTGTGTAAAACTAAATATGAAATTTGCGCCTGTGATACCAAATATACCAATTTTTTTTTTATAGTTTACAAAAGGCGAAAAAATGTTTCCGTTCAAAGTAAAAAGATAACTTTGATTTTAATATCTTTTGAAGAGCTGAGCTAAATTATAATGTAGTGAACATTATAATTACACTAATTTTACACTAATTATTTAATAAAACGATTTATTTATTTTAACAATAGTATATTATTCATATACTATTGTTTTTCTGTTCAGACTAAAAGTTTCTGTAAGACTTTACCACAACTGTTTCTTCTAGGTTACCAAATTAACTATAATGTTCTTAACCACTAAACGCTGTCGTAAAATGCGAATACTATTAAAAAAAAAACTTAATAAAGCTTCTTGTGTTGGGCGGTGACGCATATGCTAATCAAAACAACGTATAATTTTGATAATTTTATTAAGAGAACATTAAATTTTGACACTTATTAGTAGCTACTAAAACCTATACTGTCACTCATCCAATGAAGATTAAGATCCAGAAAACACAGAGGTTGTGATGTTGGTAGAGACCAACAACAAGAGAGGTTCGTTAATACTATTAAGTTTGTCTTCTATACATAAAATTCACGGCCAAAAATATCAATTAAAAGTACGTTGATGGTAACATCATTAAAACACGATATAAAAAAATATATTACACTTAGTACTTTATACAAACAAACAACACTAAAGAATACTGCATTTCATGCACTTTTTCGACAATAAAAATATCAAATACGTATCACATAGACATGCCAAATACAAGAATATTTTTATTTAAAAGCTTAATTTGAATTACGTAATACTTACTAATGTAATGTTTTTATATAATATATATACCTATACAATTAATGAAAATGCCGTTCACATACCAACAATACTGTATTCTAAACATCAAGGGTATGTTTGAATTTTTATTGGGATTAAAAGTGCGAAATTCAATCACAAACAACGAGACCAGAAAAACGGGCAAGTTCACATTAAATGCCTTTTTATCCACGGACATCCAACAAATATTCTATACAACATTGACGTTTTCAACGACGATATAAAGATGTATTTCTATATATTTTTCGTAACTACAATGAGTCCTCGTTATACGCGTTGCAGACCAAGAGCTAAGCTACGTTAGTTTAGCTTAGCTCGCATAGCTGACGCAATTTTCCATACATCTGTGCAGACCGCAAACTATGCGAACTAAGCTATGTGAGCTAACTAAAATATGCGAAGCTAAGTTAGTTGTGTATGCCGATGCGCAGCTACACGAGCTAAGTTAAGCCCCTCCCGCTACACAGCACACCCTTTGCACATACTATGCAACACTGACTGAGCTTTGGGTTAGCTGTTGGTGTGCACGCTATTTATTTCTAGCTTAGCTTAGCCTAGCTTGCTTGGCATAGCTTAGTTTAGCCTTGGCATAGCTTAGTTTTCGGTCTGCAACCGGCTTTAGACTTGTTTACAGTTTATTAAGGTATATATGTATTTGTTATTATTAATTTAATTATGGCTAATTTAAATATTACAAGATTTGAGTAAGCAGACACAAATAGAACGACAATGTTTAAAATCTGAAAATATTATTTAGCTTACCAATTACCACATTCTCGGACGAATTCAATATAATTATTTTAACAATACAACGATATTCTTAGCCATCTTTGCGGAAAGTTTCATTCAAATACGACATAATTTGTGAGAATTTAACAACCATATTACAGCTATTTACAAAGATGATTATTCTTAACCTCATAATATAAAATCTGGAATCACACATGTGAAGCTCATAAAATACACACGGTACTGTCGTATAGTACCACAAAAACTGTCTTAATAAAAACGTCCATTTTACTGTGTACAATATCAAATGTTAATCCAACATGTTCAACTTTGACACAAATTTACTGAATTTTAGAAATCTCGATTAGTAGCGACGATGACAGATTCCCTACACCTGGCGTTTTTGCTGCCTCGGTATTAGCGGCATCGTGGTACTCAAAACAGGGCATACTATACATAATTAATTCCTTCGGCGGTCTGGGCATTGGTACTGTGTTTTACGACGGAGTATGCGGCCGCATTCATCAACTGTATTACGACAAAAGTTGCAGCTCAGCTGAGGTTCAGATAACACAGCTGGTGTGTGGGTGGCTACTTTAAAAAAATACAACGAGATAAAATTCTTTATGGCTAATTTAAATATTACAAGATTTGAGTAAGCAGACACAAATAGAACGACAATGTTTAAAATCTGAAAATATTATTTAGCTTACCAATTACTTACCACATTCTCGGACGAATTCAATATAATTATTTTAACAATACAACGATATTCTTAGCCATCTCTGCAAACATTTTCATTCAAATACGATATTATATGCCAGAATTTAACAACAAATAGCTAGTTATGAAGATTACTACTCTTAACCTTATAAAATCTGGAATCACACATGTGAAGCTCATAAAATACACACGGTACTGTGGTATAGTACCACAAAAACTGTCTTAATAAAAACGTCCATTTTACTGTGTACAATATCAAATGTTAATCCAAAATGTTCAACTTTGACACAAATTTACTGAAATTTAGAGATCTCATTAGTAGCGACGATAACAGTTTTCCTTCATCTGGCGTTTGCTGCCTCGGGATCAGCAGCATCGTGGTACTCATGAAAGCAGGGTACTATACATAAATTCGTTCGGCATTCTGGGCAATGGTACTGTGTTTTACGACGGAGTATGCGGCCGCATTCGTCAACTGTATTCCAGCAAAAGTTGCAGCTCAGCGGAGGTCCGGATCGCACAGCTGGTGTGTGACTAGCTCGCGTGGTTTGTGCATTAGAATCAGTAGTCACAGTTTCACAAGAAGTGGTCGTAGACGTTGTAACTGGAAGAGTAACGGATTGCGATGTCGGGATAGTAGCAGATGTCGATGGTTGACGGTCTAGAACAGTGCGTATGTGTAGCGAACCAACGGTGTGTTCGGCTTTCAATCGATGTCTCTGTGAATTTAAGTAAGAAAATTTTAACACTTTACGGTGAAATAGCTTATTTGCCTTTATGCTATTTCTAAATTCCACCCGTCTCTGTACTAATCGGTTATACGATATAATTAAATAACGATATTTAACGGTATATATATATATATATAGGATATTTTATTTATATCTCGATTAACTGGAAATTGATTTTATCATATGGACCTACAATATTCAACATCTGAAATTTGGTGCACTTCTATATATCAGTGAGAATTACCTTAATTGTAAAATATTGTGGGTATGATTCATGTTTCTGAAGCGTGGGCGAAGAAAGTGCTGTAGCAATGGACGAAGGTATCGGCTCCGAACTTTGTTTTCTAATTTCTCTTTCCTCTGGCTGAACGCGATTCTGACGCTTAAACAATTTTGTGCGCCGCAATCGAAGGTCTACTTGAGAATCTAAATTATCTGTAAAAAGTATTAATTAATCATTAAAAGTGTAGGCCTACAAAAATAACTTGTCTCTTGTATTCCAATAGTTGCAAGAAAAGTATGTTTTAGAATCGATTTGGTAATTTCGAAAAAAATAATCAACTTTATTAGTTTTCCGAAATTCTACTCTTAGATTAAGGTACGCTGTTGTAAACATAGTGTGACCTTAAGAAACATGAAAGGATATTCAACATTGACGATGTAGAAGAGTAAGGAATGGTGACAAAGTAAAGAGAGTATTTTATAAAATAATCAGATGCTTTATTGCCTATTTGGTATTAAGTGCTACGCACATATTTACAGGTTATCATGACAACTATTCGTATCGACATTTCAATTATAAATGGTAAATCCTTTTTATCATACATTATAAAGACAATGGTTTGAGACATCTAAAATATGCCAACTTTTATAATACTGAAAACAATAGTGTCCATCGATGTTTCTACTTAATCTTTTAAAAGAGAATTCTGGTAACCAATCTTTAAAACGGGTATAGAGTTCCGATTTTATTACGCCTTGTTTAGCATAAAGAAACAATCACTAAATCTAAAAGATTGCAGTTAAAATATTATGCGACATAACGATAACCCTAAACCTAAATTAATTAAATGCACACATTTTGCATAGGATTGAGATGTCTATTTAATAAAAAATAATAAGTACAAATAATCAAAATCCATTCTTATACTGCAAAAAGCAACGATATTCAAATGAATTTATAAAATAAATTTCATTATTTTATACAATACAAATTATTATTATAATCAAATGACGGCGAATAGAGATTATCATTTACGTAAATTATTACAAAAAAACCTATAAATACAGGATACAAATAAATGCGCGTTCTTGACAGACTTTAGCTTTAAAACTTACAATAAAAATCAGTCGTAATGAAGAGATCTTTCAAGTTGTGTAAGGGCTTAAAATTAAGTTAATGCCTAGTACTATTGATTATTAATTTGTGCCAAATACAAATTTAAAACAAAAAATGCACGAAGTATTTGAGTATTCACGAATTGTACAAGCAAAAATCAAGTATCTATAAATTCATAACAAAATAGCGATTTTAAGTTTTGGAAAAAAATCATTATCCACTTTCTTCATCTCCTAACCGTAAAACCTAACCGAATTGCGTATCCAGATACGCCTGATTCGTAAACTAAATGACATAATATGAAATTTATAAAACTAGTAAATAACATGTAAATTTGACCAAAATAATAAATGTAATATTAAAAACTTATTTTAATGTGATCTGAATGCGTTTCACATTTTTGTTCTTACAGTAGTATTTAAACACACATCAAAACTTTAGTAATTTCCTCTTTATCGATAAATAGAGAATGTTCTAACTATATGTCTGATGCATATAAATTTTTATTTGAAATCTAACTAAAGCGTATATATTGATTATACGCTTTAGTTAGAGGATAATATTTTTTGTTGCAATTGTGTAAAACTTTTAACATACAATCATATAATTAGAAAATGATTTTATGTTACAATTAGTCAGAATTTAAAAAAATAATTACGATGCCTGATTAATAGTACTTGTGATTGATGGAAATGGTTGAAAGTATGAATAACATAAATCTCTCTCAACTATCACAGAAATTATCTTCACTGGTGTAAATTATTTGTTTTGATGTTGAAAACTAAACTATATATATTACAAGTTATTCAACCAGAGGTAGATTATTGAAATAAACCTTAGCTGCCCTTAAGTTGTTTCAAAGTTCAACTATGCGACTTTTGATAGATTTATAGTAATTATTAATTCTGATCCTATCATTGTAATTATAATAAATTCGCTATCACATATTTTCACATATTTTAAAACCCTAAAAGTAATGCGCAGTACGATAAAAAAGCTTTTACAAATATTTACTAGTCTTAGTGTCCTATTGAGATCTAAATATACATGGCAATGCAACACCCATTACAGTATCACAAATAATTTAGTGCATCCAACTAATAATTTTACTATGGAATACTTTAATGGAATACTGGATAAATCATTACAAATACTTATCTTGCTATAACATATTATAGCTCCGATCAGACCAAATCTTAATTTTCGTAGAATGATTGGAACAGTCTTTAGTATTAATGCTCAGGAGAAGCTAGTTGAGAGCATACTTTTCCTGTTCTTTTAGATTAATTTTATAAAAATGGTGGATGATCGTGAGCATATAAGTGTATCGTTCGATGTATGTTACACAGTAAATCGCAAGCGCTGCTACTTATCTATGCCGTAAATAGAAACTTAATAGTTTGAGGTGGAGGTAAAAACTAGCGGGATGCAAGGCAGGACGCCATCTTGCCATGGTCACGAATATTCGAGAGCCGACATCCCGCTGACCGCGTTCTATTGCAGATAATTAACGTTTACGTTTAGGTTCTGGTTGTTTACTTGCACCTGGAAGTCTAACGGCCGTGGGTCAATAAAGCCCACAGGCACCGGGTGCGGCGGACATAACAACGCCATTTGTGGATCTTGTTGGGGGATTTCTTCTTTCGTTTGTAAAGGCGGTGATGAATGTTCTCGCTTTATCCTACTCTTGATACTCGGCCTGTTATTCGGATATCCCTTCTTTTTGTACTCTAACCACAAAGTCCTGTTATTCACACCAAATAAACGTGCAGCTTTACAGAACCCTATGCCACCAAACCGCACTGCCTCCAAAGCACGTTGAAAGTTCTCAGCCGCTTGTGGATTGGTCGTGCGCCGCCTCTTCTGTTGCGTCAGATTTGGCATTTCGTGAGCGGTTGGGGCTTCAGTGGCACAACTCGGGCCGGGAGAGGGACCGGCTACTCCCAAGTTCTGGCCATAATCGGATATATCGTGATCGGTGTGAGAGTTCATTACGTTATTCATGTACATTCCCGGATCTGGTTGTAGGGTTCCACCTCCGATACAGGCATTTGAGTACCGTGGATAAGGATGTTCAATCATGCTCCACTGTCCCCCTGGGAAGAGAGATTAATGATTTCGTATAATACAATTTAAATAACAAAATAATTCAAACTTAAAATTAATATTCATTTATCTCCCTTCCCTGGAACATAGAAGATCTGTCCCAAATTAAAATGTCTAATTTACAAATTACAACTTTACAACAACAACATGCCAACATCATGTCTAATTATCAATATATTATGAAAATAAAATCATGAAATGCAATGAAAACAATTCTACAATCGAATTAGCCAGGGTAGTGAGGTAATGATTATGAAATAACTTAAGTAATGTATGAGAATGAAAATTAAATATGAGCACATACCTGGGGCAATACCAACTGAATCGTCAATGGTCATAGGCTCAACATTCAGGTTATGTGGTTCATCAGCCTGCAACAAATCATCAATCTATTAAGATACAGTAGTTTTTAGCTAAACATATCATTTTTAATAGCTTCTTCATAACTTGATTAAAGTCTTTCATTAGAATATCATATACCAAAATAAATATAGAATATATATATAATTTTAAATAATAAAAAATATCAGATTATTCTTTGTTTATAAACACATTTTAATTTCCATTTTACCAAAATACAGAATATCTGTTAGATAATATAAAATAGACATTAGCTTAGGGAAATCTATTGATTAGCTACAATTGAGTAAAATTTTCATTGTATTGGGTACAACTGAGTTAGTAATGCATAGAGTATGTGTTATTTTCAATGGTAGGTTAATAATAAAACACAATCTTTATTAATGAAACCTGTGTAATTAGCTATATTGAAAGCTAAATTTAAACTTACAGATTCCATAACTTCTAATCTTTCATCATATTCCCGCATGCGTCTCTGTTGCGGAAGACTACTCAATGTAATGGTTTCTGCACGCACAATATCTTGTGAATTCTGCCCAAAATCTTCATGCTTAGTGTCATCAAGCACTAGACTTCCTACTCCTATTGACCCCGTGGAACTCTTTCTGCGACTAAAATTAATGTTAATCATTACTTATATTAAAAAAATAATGCACGTATTCAGTTATAGTTTTTAAAATGTATGATGTCACTTTTTTTTAAGAGATCATGTAGATTTCATAAATACCGTCGTTTTTTATTGTAGGGTGATGATGAAGGGGATGCTGAAGGTCTGAGTGACTCAACTTCACCAGATGATTGAAATTCCGAAGTCATGTTCTGCCTTGTCAGAGAAGTAGAGTCTGGCATTTCTGTCAAACCTTTGATTTTTAGGACTTTGGCTGTGTCAAGGACCTGAAGTTTATAAAAAAAATATTAGAGGTTTGTTTCATCAATAGTTTATTAGCATATATTAGTAACTTGATCACTTGGGAGATATTTTAAATTACCTGGGGCAACTGTTCCTCAGTAACATTAACTTCACCATAGTACATGAAGTCTACCATTGTACGAAGATTGGAAAATGTAACATCTTTTAGAATGACAATAGGATGGCGTGATGGGTTATCTACAAACAGCGCCTGGAACAGATAAGTAATGTTTTATTCATTCATATATTAAATTCTTAATGTAGTATAAATATCAGTTTGTAGGGTATCTTTATCTTTGCATAAGTGTATTATTATTGTGCTATATTTTTTATAAATAAAAATTACAACAGCATAATATTTTTTTATTGTATTTAAAAAACAAAACAAATAAAAACCAATAACATATTCTAAAGAAATAATATTATAATAATAAATAGTTGACTGTTATTTATTGTCTATTAAATATAGTATGAGAGAAAAATCAGTATCACTAATAAATCCCTTTTTAATATATCTTAATTTAAATATAGGAAATTAAACAATAATATATATATATATATATATATCATTTATTTATAGTATTTATGAAAAAAGTTAAATTTATTTACCTGAAAATATGTACTACACGCTGAAAGAACCACTTTATGAGCCTGTAAGTGCTGCCCTTCTGCTGCCAGGGTAACATCTACTAATGTTTTTGTATTCAGAAGTGTTGTAAACATTGAAATAAAGTTAGGTTGATGGTTATTCCACCGCAAACTGTATTGTTGTGACATGGTGACGCACTACAAATACAAAAGGGATAAGGTAGACTTGCATTTCAATTATGTAAATTTGTATTCACATTTCTACAAAATTCAAGGCATACATATTCAGTGTCACAAAACTGAGTAAAACGCAAAGCAATCATGAATTACTGTGCCGAACTATTTGGAAAAAAAAATTGTATTCGCTTTAGCTTTATAAAAAGTTTATTAGACGGTACACACAACGCAAACTATGAAGTAAATAATAGCACATAGCTTAAACACTCGGTTATATTATTTGACATCGCGTCACCCACCAACGTTATAATTAATAAAAATCCCTCCAACTGCACAGTTTTGTTACGGTAAAATTTACAAAGAGAGCATTAATATCGTTTAAGTTCAGGCGCAATAATAATAAATGCAAAATATTATATGTTTAATGTATGAGTTCACGATTTAAATATACAAAAACAACGATTTACCGTGAGGCCATCCCGGACAAATGACATCAATCAATAACAAAGACAAAATCGAAGTCTAAGAATTTATGATTTGGAAGATTTACTTACCTTGTTCGATTGAACCAATATATAATATGTAGGTAAATTTCCACTTAAAACATTTATTTTATATAAAATCCATCAACCCACGCCATTTACTTAAAGGTAGGCACTAGGTACCTACACAAAAATAAAACCCACGCCAAGTGCATCCAGTGCTGCCACCCTAGCTTAGGGTTACCAAGTCCATAAAATCATAATAACAAAATTTTTTAATAAAAACTACCACTTTAGCTTGTAGCACGGTTTTTACTCCTACATTCAAACAATACCACTAAAGTATTTTCATGTAGTTTACGCTATAAGAGTTTAAGCAGTGTCATTGACGAACACAACAGTTCATCATTGCCATAATGACTAGACCACATACGCATAATGACTATCGGTTATTATATTTGTACATGCGTACATGAATCAAGTGTACTTTATTAATTAATGCAAATAGAAATAAACAAATTATGAATTTATGAATTAGAGTATGTATTTTATTGACCTTTAATATTTTTATTCTGTCCAGAATGATTGTCACAATAGTTTGAAGTTTAAGTCACCGTTGTCAAATTGTTCAAACTTCAAATAAATACTTGTGTTATTTAATCGAAACGATTATATACATACATATTCGAAATAAACATTAAACGGTAGTTCGGTTATCATTACTATTATAGATATCCTGCTTTGAACAAGTTGATTTTTATATAATACAATTTTACAAAGTCTCGGTAAGTTAAAACCAATTACAAGTAGCATCATTTTTGTAATATTAATAATAATTTTATGATTCATTTTTCTTACCTCGGAAACTCATTCCAAAAATTACTTCAAAATTATTAGAAACTTGAAATTTTTCTATTTAATTAAGTGGGAAATTTGGAAATAAGACCAAACGTTCACAGGCTTTAAAATTTAAATACGACCTTCATGAGTAAGAAAGGTCATATTAATAGTGTTTATATAATTTTCCTTTGTTATTCACGAAGTGCCAACGTGATTGTGTTCTATATATTATACGTGCATTGCCCTCATTCATTTAGATGAAACAGTGTTGTTGGTCTTTTATAGAATTTGCATGATTAAAATTTCGTTTGAATCAAAGGAGTGTGGTACTTTTATAGTTGTGTGTATATTTTGTAAACCATTAAATATATTTACAAAAAAAATAATCTGTCCAATAAAGATAATGATAATAATTAATTAACTACCTATTTTCAATCACCAAGTACCTGTAAATAATATAACAATTCTTGTCACTTTGTCAGGCATTTTAACAACAATTAAGTCCTCAATTTGTTTAGGTATCAACACCAACAATTAGTCATCATTTGCAAGTAAATAACAATATTATCAAATAGTATTTGTTGTATAATTTAAAGATTTAAAAGGATGAAATAGCCTATTGTGATTTTGCTATAAAATTGATTCTAACTTTCAATAATGATTTTTACATTTCTACTTTTCATTTATGACATTTCTATATATTTTTCATCTGTGTTAATATTTAGTACTACAATAATCTAACACTCTATCATTATCTAGTTCATCATCTTGCAGACACACTTTGTCTCTTTATAATTTTTATGACAGATGGTACATGAATATCACCTTTTTCCATCTTCCTTTGTTGTCCAAAGGATATGGTGAAATTTTGGGTCTAAGACATGTTGTGATAAAAGATAACACACATAGAGAAATAAATAAAAACTCAGGGCTAAAAGTATCAAGCTTAACCACAAGAAATACATTCTTCATTTTAAATCACTCTTCATAAGTAGCGAGGAGCCTAAACACATTTTCATATTATTTTCATGATTCATTTTATGATAACATAATATGTAAATAATAAAAAAAAAAACATATTTTTCCTATGCATAATGCATGCATTAATAATTTATGATTACACCAAATGTGTGACAGTTCTTTGTTTTAAATTATTAAGGGCTTTGTTTCGTTTCAGTATTAATTAGTCATGAGCAAGCTATGCAGGCAAGTTTCCATAGAGTCACCTGGACAAGCTCTGAGGGAGTGTGTCTTTAGTTTCGATGTTCCAGTGCCCGATGTACCCATGTATGGAGCCAGAATAAGAGTAGTATATGCTGGAGCTTGTTATAGAGCTCATCGCACACGTTCTGCGTCAGTGTGTAGTACATCATCTGTGTCGTCAATTGGAAGTCTCTCTGGAGAATTTGAGGGGTTCGGTTTCCATTCAACAACTCCATCGCATATTGGCTTCCGTGATGGTGCTCTGTTCCCGGGATATGAGGTAGCTGGAATTGTTGATGCTATTGGAAAAGCAGCTGAGACTGATGGCATTTGTGAAGGGGCTAGGATCGTCCTATATCCTTACGAGGGTGTACCACATGGGTATGCAGACTTTATTGTTGTTCCAGATTTTAAATGCCTTGTGCCAGTTCCAGATAGCTTGCCTTTGAGCGTAGCTGCAATGCTACCAACAGGCGCCTTATTGGCCACTAATACTGTATATACGGCAATTGATAGCCTGAACAAAATCATTGAAGGTCCTAATAGGAAGGATAAAGTGACAGTATTGATTGTTGGAACAGGTGGCTTAGCTCTTTGGGCTCTCCGTATTGCATCCCATTTGTTTAAACAAAGCCCACACCATTCGAAAATTAATATATCTGTTGCAACAATTAAAGATGAAGGCTTTGTCCTAGCCAAAGAAAGTGAAGAGTAAGTGTTCATTAATTATAAAATAATTTAGATTATTATTTGTAATTTATAATAAGTTAACATATTGTATGTTTAGGGTAAAAGTCGTACAATGGTCTGAAGATTTATATGAACGCCAATTGATCGAGCGCACAACAGATGCCTGTGGAGGGCCAGTTGATATTGTACTCAACTTTGGTACCACATCACGATCATTGCACCGTTCACTTCAATGTCTTGCTCCTGTAAGTAAGCAAATATAATTAATTTCTTAAAATTTGATACTGTTATCTTTAATTACTCATTTTTTTTTATATTACACATATTAGGGTGGCCTGGTTCTTGTGACTGAGGATGTTGGTGAGAAATTGCTACCGAAATTTGCGAAGAAGGCAGAGGATATGAATGTTAGCATTGTTGTGGTGCCAAATGGCACAATTGAACAGTTAAGAGAACTAGTTCAGCTAGTTGCTAACGGCGAGGTAAGACAGAACTATTAGTAAATAAAGTATATATATGATTATAAAATATTACTAAATTAAGTCGAGAAAGAGTTAAGAATATTATATTTTTTTAAATAGCCTAATTATTTGTTGATTATATTAATATTAGGTAGAATAGATGCAGAACAAAGCAAATGTTACCATACCTATAAGTAGAAAAATATTTAAATATTGCATATTAATTTGTTTGTTCGAAATTAACATGTTCACTGTTTTATGAAACTAATATTCAAATACTTTTTTTAGATTGAACCCCCACCACATTCAGTCTTTCCAGCGGATGAGGCACCGGAAGTAGTGAGAAAGCTTTGTAATTCTGAGATACAAGGTCGAGCGATTTTGAAATTCCACGATGTTGACTAAAATGCCTCTTCGTAACCAAATCAAAACAGTAATTGGTAACAATAGAAAAGTTGGTCATGATTCGGAAACAAAACTGCAACAAAGAACAATGTATAGTACTCATTCAACAAAATATACATTACTATAGAATTTGAAAATTAAAATATGCTTCTTTAGTTGCCATATATTTATGTGATTGGCCAATTGTAATTGCCTATAATATAAGCCTGTATTAACTGATTCTTAATATACAACAAATATGCAAGATATGTATTATGAGTAGCCTTTAAAAAACTGAGTTATAAAACGTTAGTATTGTGTTTGTTATATATAAAATTAATAAATTTATATAAAAATAATGGTGACTTGTAACAATTACCAGACTAACTTAGTCTAAGTTTTGTGATAAGACCAAATATGTAGGTATAGTTATTTTCTAGAGCTCAAAACTATTATGCCTAACAAGTTTGACAAACTGCAGTTCATTGTAATAAGCTTCTTTAGGTGACTTTGTGTGATGTATCGCAGAATTAATGTTTATTGAGTCATGAAAATATTTACTTATATAAGTATTCTATGTATATTATACTCAAGATGTAACGTAGCATGTAGTCATTAAGGATAATTGTAAAATTTAATTGAACTCATGAATAATTAACAAATGAGTATAAACAGCACGAGATAAAAGTATGTTTGTATTTGTCCTTGTGAATGAATCACCTATTATAAATTTGAGTCAAAAAATTAGATAAGATTAAGTCATTAGCACTCATGTCATATTCTTCAAGTGATATTTGGTGCAATTTTTATGCAAGTTTATTTTTATCGACGAAGTACAGAAATAAAAGTATTTTTGAAATGTCTAGTCATGTAATTGAGTGAAAAAGTTATTCTTAATTTCCCTCAACTGATGTTACAAGTATTCATTTTACGTAGATATAGTCAAGTAGGTTACGAATAACAAAATTGGTATTTTGTGAAAATTATTTAATAATAAATGTATTTTTAAAATTTAAGTATTTTATTTCGAATCATAAAATTAGTTTCAGTCCAAATTTGTGATTGATTTCTTGTTGTGATTAACCGCTCGGAATTCTTTGAAAAGATAAAAAGACTTAAGATTCTTCATCCCTTGCAAGGGAGACTTTGTTGTAGCTTCACGATGTTTTGTTCCCCAGATGTCAATAACTGATCTTATTTCTTCATTGGTTCCTGCATGAAGTATTATTAAGACAGCCGAGGAACCAACCCCACCTTTCTTGATAGTTGCACTGGCTCCGCAAGATTTGATGGCTACATTATCGACGTGTATATAATTTATGGTATAACCAGGAAAATAGTTCTCATATACATACACTTGACCTTCATTTATTGTCACTGGCCGATTTTCTACAACCGCTGAGTCCATATGATTCAAACTTTGGTGCCATTCTCCAATTTCTAGTGGCATTTTAGTTTGTCCGCAGAAATTTCTACCGACCGCTAGTCTTAGAATAACCAGAATACAATACGTTAATCGATCCATTTACATACAAGACTGAACATATGGAAGTATCGAACACCTGCTCCTCATTGTTTGAAAACAATGCATAGCAAAAAAGTAATTTTGAAACTTCACCTAATCATTGTAACACGTTGAGAAAAATTATAAGCGAACGTTTATCATCATTTAACTTAGATTCAGAAAGTGAACTGAATTGCAGGCCTATCAAATACTAGTCTTTCCATAAATACTGAAACAAAGAGAATTTTTTTTATATTATGTATTAAACTAACACCCTGTAAAAGTAAAAAATGTTATTTGCAATAGAATTTTTTTTAAAACAATTTAAAATAAAAAAAGCTTATTCGAAGTGGAGTCCACTGGCTGCAATACAATTATTTAAACGATGATGCCAGTTATCAATAGAAGCACGCACTCTTTTCATGGGAAAATTCTTCACTGCCAATTGTACGGATTGTTTTAGGGACTCCAAATTATCGTGGCATTTAGAGCAAGCCATCCAGCGGATTAAGATCGGGACTAGACGACGACCAGTTTTCAGCTCTGATGAAGTCCGAAACGTTCGTTTCCAACCAATACTGCGTAGACCGAGCCTTATGACCCGGCTTCGAGTCTTGCTGGAAGGACCATTCTTGGTTATTGAAAGGGCTTCAACTCCTTCTCAAGAAGGGAATCTTGATACACTTGTGCCGAGGTTTTGATACCTGTTTCACTAAAGTATGGCTCAGTCACTCTTTCATAACACCCCACCAAACCATCACTGAAGTCGGATAGTGCCCACGTTGCACTCTGTCAACTAATTGGGAAGCTTTCTTAGAGTTTTGAGCATGCATATGGTCATTTTGTTTGTTAAAATGTTGCTCAGTTGTAAAAAAAATCGCATCCGTAAACATAATTTTTCTGTGACCTCCCTTTGCGTTCGGCTTCGATTTTAGTAGTAGTAGTTGTTTCGATTTTACCACCCTATTCTTTTTTAAGTCTTCTTAACTGATAAAGGCTCTTATAGGCTACTAGTCCTCAGTCATCTTTTAAAATACGCGACATGGTTCCAGGTGCAGGATTTCTTTGAATTTTTTCCCTTACAGCTTTGACTACCTTTTTCGTACGAACTCTACGTGGACGGCCAGATCTTTTTCTGTCACAAACAGAGGTCTCATTGTAGGTACCTATTAATAGCCCGGTAAACAAATATTTTACTAATACCAAGCGCATGGAGTTTTAAAAATTGCATTTGTTTCCATACCTACTTTGTGTAATGCGATCACAGCGATTCGGTTCTCTTTTTAACCCATATTTAATATCGCAAAATATTGTACAATATATTGGCGCCAAAATGAGTAAACTCAATAAACAATCATATAAAAATGACTGATTTCAAATTCAAATGTAATATTTTGTTTATTTTTTATGTAACTAGGTAACACTGAAAATGTTTAGAAAATGAAGAACAGCTTAATGTAGAAAGTTGCCAATACTTTTATTGTTTTTCGAAGTAATTGCCGTTCCTCTCTCTCTATACATCGTCGCATTCGATGGAACCACTTAGAAAAGCAGTGGGCCCATTCTTCCTTAGGGGTCTCTTCTATGGAATTTTCGTACGCTTTCATCGCATCGTCTGGGCTCGTAAAGCGAATACCAGGAATTCCGGAAAAACAAATACCCGATAAAGCTTTATCGGTATTAAAACAAATCAATAACATAATGAATATATTTTACACATAATATCACCTTGACATCAAAACAATCTTAGAATACTCTTCAGAAAAAGGACAATAATAATGAATACATGAACAATTTAACATAGATTTTAATGTTATTGATATTATGAGTTCCATAAGACTATTTTTAAACCTAACATGTTCTACACATAAACAGTACAATGTAAAATTAATATCTTAGTTAAGATAAAGTCAGTTTTATTCGATATCGCAGGGATGACCCAAGGCAACTGCTGTATCGTTAGCCTGAGGCTGGCATTAACGGAATGCCGCCAACACAAGGACATCATTACAAAGCTCATTTTGGAAGCTCAAACACTTGTCGGAAGGTCACTAGAAGTAATGTTTGCGCTTTAAGTAAAAGTAGTATTTTGAACTTGTAAGACGAAGATGCCTTCGTGATTATACCAACAAGAAAAACAGAATACATGTTTCGAAAAGATAATACTAGAATTTTATATTAATATCAAGTCTTTTCATATAGGTAAAAGTGTATAACGAAGTCTTTTATAGGACGGAACTTTTGGACAATCTGTCTTACGGAACTCGAGAATAAGTATAGTACAAAATATTTACTAATGGCTCGTTGCTGGAAGCTGGCTCGAAGTATACTGACGTATGTTAGTCCATGGCGTCACACAAACTTATGTTAATTGTCAAACTACGGTAAATATTGTTACATGAGCAACGTCTCACGTAAGGAAGTTAGTTAAAAATTTATATAATTAATTATGCAATACGTCTATGGTTTTATCAAAGTAGTTATTTAGGCCAATGATTTCTCGTTCTAAGGAAAAATAAGTTCAGGTATAATACAGTAGTAATACGTACTAAAAAATCTATAAAATTTAAGTAAATACCTAGTTTTCAAAATAATATTTGATTATAGTTTTAGATAAGATTAAGTATATTTTAAGCTACTATGGTATAAAATAAGGCACTTACCATACTGTTACCAAAGTTATACAAACAAATATAATATTAACAATAAACGTACTAAAATTTGTAAAATTTAGAAAAAAATACTGGATGTAATATGTTAGAACACCTTTCATAACTGCAGATTTATAACAAAATTCGCAAACAAATTTCATTTTTATGATTTAGTAATTTTTTAACGTAAAAAACACGTAAAACAGCCTAATACGTTTTTTATCATACATATAAACAATATTTATAATAATTTGTTTAATTCTATCGACCACAGAAACGAATAAAAAACTATTAATATGTCCAAGTACCAATATCAAACTAACTTTGGCAACACTATCTCTACGAAAATAACTATGAAGAATTATAACAAACGTGCTTGCCGTGACAGCGAATTTTTGCTGAGTTTAAATTATATGCTAAAATAATACATGCAACACCATTAGTCAAGCGTTGCTATCCGTTTTAAATATATTTAAATGACAAACAAATAAATTAAAAAGTTCTAGGAAACATTACAAAACTGAACGCTTTCACAAAGACATCACAGAGCCACAAAATAACCCGTAAATTTAGCATCATTATTAAGCTTTCGTATTGTGCACAAACTTGACGTCGCGGTGACCTAATTATTGTTGGAATCGGCACTTGTGCCATTGCCAGGAAATGGAATTCGGAATCAGGTTTATAAAGTAGCTCATGTGTTTTTGATATGAAACAACAGATTTTAAGCTACCTGTTGTTGTAAATACAGTGATTGTAAAATTAATTTTGATACCTTTGATTTGGTTAACTGCAAGAAGGAATGTTATAAAGTGCTCGGTGATATATAAATTAAGTAATATCAAGCTTCCATAAGTATTTTTAGTCACTACATTAAATGTATAATTACCGACCCTACATAACTACACTAATATTAAATTTTTTTTTCATATACGCGTTTAATAATTCGTCAGATATAATGATAATAAGTTCGATTAAGGTTATTTGTTATATTTATATAAGCCGCCAGTGGCGTATCGGTAATTAGTGTAAACATGGTAATTGACATTGTCTTTAATAATATTTAATTTCGTATGTAAATTTTGTAAATTTCTTAAGTCTTATTTCATAATAGTCTAGATCATACACAATAGTTTTATAGAATACTAATAATATTTTTTGATCCTCATTTTTAGTAAAAAATTTAGAATAATGTTTAAAAATTTCATGAAGGTATTGCCGAGGCAATTTTAATACCACTTAGTTAAACAATATTTTAAAAGCATTTAACATCCTTGTATGTTTATTCTAATAAGGTTTAACAATTTTTGAAGATTTATAAAGGACGGATTTTAGAAAAATTTAATTATGAAAATTGTTCTGTAATTTTAAATTCTTCGACAATGTCAATTATCAATTGATCAGTATTTGAACACCTATAATATATAATTCACATTAAAATTCGCACACAGGATACTTTTAGCATTAATTAATATTATGGAAAACAGACATTGGAAGTCATATTTTTTTATTTTAAGAAAAAACAAATAATGACTATGATATAAATAATATTTTAGAAATATTCGAGATTCCCTATGTTAAAGTACATTTGTTCGAGAACTGCTGCTTACAAAAGTTACAAGATAACCTAAAAGTTAAGTACAATGAATATTTTTATGCTAAAAGTGTCTTGTCTACGGAAGCCCTATTGGGCCTCTTATAAAAAATATAACATTATTTTTACATGTGTATAGTTGCCGCCGTGTATCTTGCCTCACCACGTCGCCAGCTCCATTGCGATGGCCGATACTGTTACGAAATATAAACCTATTAGAAACTGTTATTTATATATAAAGTGTAAATTACTAACTCCCTAAATCGTGTTTGACTTTGGTAAGCCTTGTTTAAGCAATGTAACATTTCTTTCCATATAACAACTCTCCATAACGAAGAAATTGATAAATTCAATGGGCCTGTGACAAACAGGCATAGGGTCTGTTTCACAATGTTCGGATAAGTTCTACATAAGTTCCAAATTAGCTATTTATTACTTATTGGTAGGATAAATACAATTGTTGCGTTTCACGACTGTCAGATAGCGCTATTCGTCACATAAAGTCCATCATAAGTTATTAGTCCGATGAATGTCAAATAGCACAATTTATCTTCCAAATAATTTATGTGTTGCATAGCTATTTGGTACTCTTTTTATGAGGTAGTTTCTTCGTGTTTATAGGTAGCCGATATTTGTGTCTATGCATGTTCGTTTATTGGTTTCCATAATCATACGTTTGTTAAGTGCGTAGCATAGACATTATTTAGGAAAAATTAAACTCCAACCTTCATCATTATTTACTTATATCATAACGGAGGAGACAGAAAAATGCGTGAGCACCTATATAGGGATTTTTTTGAGATATCTCAAAAACTACTGAACCGATTTTAATCAAACTTGAGCTGCTCTCTTAGTTGAAATATACCTGATCATTCCGAATGTGTAGCATACATTTTTGAATATTAAGCACACACGCGTAGTAGCCTAATATATCCTTATACAACAATAGATAGATAGATTTATAAAGAATATTACCCTGATAAGTATTTGACCGCTTCGTGTGTGTGGATTTTTGAAAGCGTAGAGAACCCATCCAGCAAAACTGCACAGCGAAATGACTATGACCAATGAGACCACTACACCACCGATTGTAGAGTGTTGCTTCGGAACCGGAACATCTGGTGTACCTTCAGTGTGCAATTTGCGTGCTTCTTCTGAAAAATACGTATTTATCTATTGACTATTAATTGTAGGGCTACTTGCCCTATACTTGACCTACTTGGTCTACTAGGCCTTCAGACCTCAGGGTTAAGAATCACATGCGTTAACAAATATTGGCATTTCAAACTTGGCAAACCAGTTTTGCAATCACATAGTCAAAAGTTCACTTGTCAATGAGTTATATCCATTGTACCGAGCTGCAATACCTTTATTCTATAAAATAAATCAGTTAACACTTTTGTGATTTATTTTATAGAAAAGTAATTTATTTTGACATATTCACAGTAGTGATATTATATATATAGGTTTTTATTTTTATATTGAATGTGTGTTGCATAATGAGTCCATTTTTGTTTTTGTATTTTCATTATTTTTGTCTTAATATGCACGACAGCTTGAAAATTCCTTAGATTTAAACATATATTTAGAAACTTCGTAATTTATCTAGTTTATTATGTACTTACGTTGTTCATCCGAACGATTATCAGTCGTGTAGATTGTATTCTTGGTATCAGATGTGTGACTGACACGCGCCGGACAAGTTTTTTCATCTTTGATCGCGACAGCTTCACAATCTATTAATAAAAGTAATTATTAATCAAAAATATAATGAACTTATTCGCACATACAAAATAATGTACAAAAGTCAGTATCAGGATATATTATAATACTTTCATATTGCTTTTTGTGTGCTTAATATGGTTGCCAGAATGATAACTAAGACTATTCTAGATTGTTAATCAAACTTAAATCTGTTTTCAAGAGCTGTCAAACCCTTTTTTCTATTTGAACTTTGACAAATTTGACAGCGCCCAAGCAGAGATTGTGACTAGACTCGACTATTTTTCTATATATACATTAAACAAAAACAATGTGGGTAATATATTTGGGAGTTTTTCGAATATCCTACCTCCATTTAAAACTAGATTTTTTTTAAGTTTAAACTTTTACACCTTTGGATCAATTATTATTTACATTGAATTCATAATATACTTACGATGCATAGCCCAGTCATGTTTAATTTTGTCTATTCCACTTGAACACTTATTAATGTTGGGGCACCATGAGCACTGAAAGGTACAAACATTAATAATTAAACGATGTCTGTTCGAAATATTAAATCAAGCCTTAAACTGATACCATATCATATTCATTTTAAAAACACACAGAGCTCTCCCCTTTGATTGTAAGTTGCTTTAAAAAATAATAGGGATGACAACATCCCGGTCAGACAGCGAGGACTGATTTCGCTGAGACAAAATATGCAGTCATCTACAATAAATTAAAAGGCTGCTTCACATCTGCCCGCTCTCACCACAATTAAAAAAACTGTTAAGGGACTGGCATATGAACACAAGAACACACATTACTCGAGAGTTGGAAATGCTACTGAGATCTAACATATAGTACACATTCATACACATTACACTTATTCATTCACTCACATGCACCCACACACTTTCTCATGCCCTATACGCGTGCACGTGTGCGAGTGCAATAAACACGGGTTGTTAAAATATATGTATTATACAATTAAGTATTTGTTTGTGTGCTGACTCAGGTATTTTTTATACTGGGTGGCGCAAAAGTACTGGCACTAAAGAAAATTTGTTTATTTTTTTTATATGACATTTCCTGTCATTCTGTTGTTGAAAATTGTGTAGTGAACAAATATAAAATACACTGAAAATAAACATGGACCGTTTTACTCCCCAAGAACGTGGAATAATCGTGTCAATGTTCTTTCGGAATAATTCATCAGTGATAAAAACACAACGTGAATTTCGTCGACGATTTCCCCACACAATTTTCAACAACAAAATGACAGGAAATGTCATATAAAAAAAATAAACTAATTTTCTTTAGTGCCAGTACTTTTGCGCCACCCAGTATAAAAGGGTTCCGAAATCTTACACGTTGTAATGCATATCTACTTATAATAAATAAAGACATTTTTTATTATAAACACTATAGCAGTATAAATTCCTAGCCATTTTCAGGTTTTAAATGAAGTTATATTTGATGGCGAGATAGGTGCAAAATCTGAGGTCATGTTCAAGGGTTGTAGCGCATTTGTTTTTTTCAATATATGGAATTAGTTTATTATGGTATTTTGTTTATAGATAAAATATGAAAATGTAAACGATTTTAGACACCCCTAGAAAAAAATCAATATTACTTACGTTAAAGTGTGTTTCATGATTGGCGCAATCTTCACACGTGTCATAGACAAGACAAGTTGGCAAAGCGATCAGCATTAATATAGTGTGGTTAGATATTTCGTAGTTTTTGAACGATACACGATGGTACTCATAGATAGTCTTGTGTTTCACATCTGGAATTAATTATATTTTGTAATCACTAAAAGTTAGACTAAACATAGTACTATTGTAGAATGAAAAAAATAACGAAACCATGATATCAATCAGGACTTTTTTTACAAGAACAAAGGGCAAATAGGCTGACCTGATGTAAGTTATACCCATGGATGCTTTTAATGGCAGAGGGCACGCCAGTAGTTGCCGGCCTTTTAACAATTGGTGGGCTCTTTTCACTCTAAGTCAAGTTCAGAAATACTTCAGAGGGCAGCTGGTTCCACATAATGGTGGTGTGCGGCAAAAATGCCTTAAATAACGCTCAGTGGAACGACGGCCGTCGAAGTTATCTTTAGTTCACGGTTTATTGTAAGACGGACCATGTTGCTAGATCCTTTTTAGACATGTTAAAATCGAAAGAACAAGAAGTCTCATTGTTCTTTTACACTTAGCCAGAAAGCCTTTAGAAAAATACATTTACTTAATCTGGAATAATAAGGTTGTAACTTCTGGTATACAACCGTTTAGACCTCTTATTTAAATTATAACAGCACTATACATTTTATACATTCTTTATGGTAATATTTTTTTAATGTTATAAAAGACATTTAAAATGTGTTTGAAAATAACTTGTTTTAAACATGCCAACCCTGGTAATATATATTTACACACACATATATATTACCAGTTATTATTATATACATATTTATTATTGTGTTTTTTTGTTGTGTTTATGCTTTGTTTATGCTTTGTATATACTAACATTTTAAATAGCTAGAGTTCGTAAGTATTGTTTTAATTATATTGTTTCTCCATTTTGGATTTATTTATTAACTTACGTAAGTACGTTTGGCCGGTGAGATAGGCATCACTTATGCCCACTTTGACTGGATGCTCCCTGTCACTAATATTTTGTATGGGGAATGGTACGTCTTTGTATACAAATGCAATATCTCCGCTTTTATACAGGACAACGGCGAATGTGAAGGGATCACTGGAATTTTCTTGCAATGTCACATTTTCCCAAAACACAACAAATTTCTCTCCTGAAACAATAAATAATACTCCGCTAAATAGACGCATCTATCAACTTTATTTTTATTTAACAATAAATATATTTTTTATACGTAATTTTAAAACATATATTATTAACTCGAAAACTTTTTTAAATCTTTACCAAGCTACTCAATGATCGAGTAACAAAGTACAACAGAACATAGCAAAATTTTGAAATAAACAGAATGAACGATCAGACAAAATATATTATCGTTTTTAGAGTTACTAAACGAGGTTATTTCAAATTTTGAACATCGCTAACGCTTTTTTTGCAGTCGATGCTTTATCACGCCTATTCAGAAACTAACGCATATCCATGACATCTGACCCTATGGCTTTAAGTTTAAACAGATTGCGTTAAATGAATGAATAAGTATGTAGTTAAGTAAGTATTTTCCATACTAGAATTATCGTAAGAAATATTACACAAGATGTTTTATCGTGTATATATGGGGAATGCATCACAATTTTAACGGTTTCTTCAAATACTTTTACGAAATTTGACTTCTAAAGTTTTATCAATGTATAATGTTAATCCTTTAATTACGCATTTACGATTTCCATTCAGAAAGTGGAAAGCAAGTTATGTAAAAGAAACATTCCTTCCAATAAATCAGATATCCACAGCGTATGTATATTTCGTGACTCTCTTATGAATGTCTGTGAAAACCTCGAAGCATTCTTGATGGGATATTCGTTTGTATTGTTTCGTTGCGTACAATACAATGTTTATTAAATATGTTCTTACGTTGCACTTCACTTTAAGGTTCATAATTAAAACTTTATTTTGAATTGTTCAAATATTTTATATGTAATCCAACGAATGTCTAAATTTATTATAGTTTTCAGCAGACAAGTATGCGACCCACATATGTTTATTCCCAAATTAAAATATTTTCGAATAAATAATCAAATGAATTACCTATATCTTTGACAATTGCTTTTGGACCTAACAAATGAATGTCTTAATGTCTCACGTTTCCGTGGGTTGTTTTATAAAGATATTTCTAGATTTAAATAGAAGAGAGCGAAAGATGTCTTAGTTATAGAGATAGATTGCCTTCTAGGCTTAGGCTTAACCGAATTTGACGATTCCATTAACTAATTAATAGAAAGAGAGTAAACTCAATTTCAATAGTCGGAGCACCGTTGTGGGATTTGAAGTCGCTGAAATGCTAATGCGTTTTATGTTTAGTTTAAGGTAGACAGTAATCGTCGTGATATGGAAAAACTATTTAATTTATGTAAATAAATTAAATTATTGCGACGCGTCATAATAAGAATTACATTAATTCGCGATTTACGCACAAACTATCTACTAAAATATCTCTTACCATCGTCGTATTGTTTCACCACACTGTCATTTCCAAGTGTTGTGTCAAAATTGGCCATCAATGGTGCTATATATTGTGTCGCAGCTAACCAATTATGTACGTGGTCACCTATGAATATAAACCCGCCAGTTGCAACGGTAATATTCTTCACAGGATTACCGTAAAACATGAAGTCAAAACTCAAATTAATAGTCTGAAAGAAATATTATCTGTTATACAAATGCTTTCTTTAAATTGACAATATAGATTTGTAGTAACTATTATAGATATTAAGGATAGTTTTACTACAACCAGCAATAATTTTATTATCTGTATAAATATTTTAAATATAAATGAATAATTTTAGTAAAATGCCAACGTGATTTTACTTACAGTAGCGCGTCGGTGTGAATTACTAAGAACTTCGTGTACATCCGCCTTTTGTTTTGTGATATTAGACCAGTATTCGTTGAAAAATTCAGTGTTACCCAAAAATGTACTATTGTAGAATACGTGGTGATCCTGAAAAGTATATTAGCAATATAATTTTTTATTTTAATTTGCATGACTCATTTAATAATAATAATACAATGAGTGCTTCACATTTCTGAATCATAGATCATTTGACGATTATATCTAGTATATAATATATTTTAATGAGTAGTTAGCCTAGTGCCAGTGAATTTTGAACCCCGAAGTGCAATACTTGAACGCACTACCTGAGGATTCTCAAACCACGCCAACATTGATGAATTGAACAAACTAAATCATCGGAGTGACAAAGGCATGATTTTTAATGTATTTAATTTTCGAATTTATTGTTGCCTATCAATAAACATAAAAAAGTTTAAAAGTTCAATCATTTATTCATATAGGTAACACAATGTACACTTATGAACGTAAAAAAATAAATATATATTAAATGCTTCTAATTTTACATTTACCGTCGGTTCTCAAATCAAGGGCGTAAAATAAAACATATGTTAAATATGGAATATAAGATACAGGTATCACTTATTCTACGTCATACAATCATTTAATTTCGAACTTTGGTCACACATTACGTCGGAGCGAGGAGAACCTAGACCTAGAGAAGCTCATCGTGATTGGCAACACCGAAGGCAAAAGATCGCGAGGACGTTCGCCAACAGATCAAATTAAAGACTTGTCATCCTCAAAAGTATACACCGAAGATTCTATACAAATAAAAGTGTAAGACCGAAATTGGTGGAGGAAAATTATTCGTGCCAGATCCTACTTTACGACTATGATACTCAGATATAAGTTACCGACCCAGACAAACGTCATTAAAAAAATAAAAATAATACTTACCAATTGTATATCGGTTAAATTTTTTTTGGCTTTGATAGTTTCAAGTGTGTCTTTGAAAACGTCAGTTGTATCTGGAATTCATAAAATAGGCGTCATTTGTTTATTCAAAATGATAAAATGTACTTTCGGGCAGTAAATTACATTCGGGGAAATAAATGGCACCGTCAGAACCAATTTTGATGATACCTCTGTCAAGATTAGTAAACGCTTTTGACCCGTTTAATTTTATTTCATATATTTGTACTCACCATCACCTGGTGTGATAGGCTCGCTCACAGTAGGTGTATTACTAGGAATTGTAACATGTAATATTCCGGTTCCGTTAAAACCTAAGAGTGACGTGTGATTGGCATTCACTATTAATGCTGTTTCTGTAACATCAATAATAAAATTAATACTACCAAAGACGGTTTAAGGCAGAAATGAGCGCAGAGGAATAATTTTCGCATTGTATAAAGCCAAGTCGCGCACCAAGTAAGCTTTGACATAAGGATAAATATAAATTAACAACGTTATAAGAATAAAAATCGTTGTAAATGTTTTGTTTTTGTTACTATTTGATGTCAAAAACTCGGCTGTAGATTACCCTTGAGGTTTTCCTTTATATAATTTAAGCATAAGAGATTTATTTATAGCCGCACCAACAAGGCCACACATAAGAAAAAAGAAATAAACAATATTTGGCCTCGATTATAGGTGCGGACCGCGTGCACAAACATAATGCTTATTATATTTGAAATTAATATTAATATTCATATAGTAAGAGTCTAAAAATTACAAAATATAGCAAAGCAACCTAAGAGAGTGATAACAGAATGCACTTCATATGATCAAATGGGCGGTCCCAAAATATCAAGATCGTTCGGGGCCTGCAGACCTAATATAATGTGTTTTCCTCACTAATCTAAAGATCTCAAACCCTACAGGTTAGATTTTTTTTACAGACAATATGTTTTTTTGGGAGGTTGAGGGTCAGTTTTGCTATTTGATACAATAATATTCCCTCAACCGCCTGAGTAGAGTCCGCACAGAGGATAGGTTAGGATGTCGCTGGAACGTCAGAGGGGAAGAGGATCTGCTGTAAAAGCCAGCAATTTGTGGGAAGTGGCACAGGACAGTGAGCGCAGGAAGTTTTTCGGTTCGGTGACCAAGACACGTCGCAAAGCCAGCGGAGTGAGAGCATATCTCGAAACTGATTCTAATTTAAATTCTTTCGCATCTTAAACTACACACACAAATAACAATTTTGAATTGAATTTGATGATCAGCAAAAAAAGAGATCAAATTCAATCGGTGTCGGATAGCATCGCTTAGACCCAGCAATACGCGATGTAAGCATAATTTATAATATACACAGCCAAACTGATAAAACAGAGTTCGAAGGGTTATTTAGACGGATACAGTAATATTCATCAAATCGTCGTGCACTATATAATGGCCTTAAGGGTTATTGCAAAATAAAAAGTAACGCGCAAATTAATACGCGACTTCCCTCCGGTACATATTATAAAAAAAAGCAATGCATGCTTTGAGTTGCTTCCAAGGCTAGCACCTGGCATGTATCCCACATGTTGTAGGAATATAGGAGATGATCCAAAACAAACAATGAGACTAAATGCAGAAATATCGATTTGCTCTTTTCGGGACTCTAACAATATCGTAATTTATAATAATTGGACACGCTCAGCATAACAACACAATTATAGGAGTAATTTGCAAGAGTTGTCCATCGCCTTATTCAAGCACCTTATCAGCAATTATTATCGCCCATTGCTCCATTTAAGTTAAAAAAGTATAATATATTCTATAATATAATGCCAATGAAAAATATGTTACATAACCAAATAATTATTTTTGGGAAAACCGAAAACAAAGCGTAAATACGTGTCATATTAATAATATTTTTTACACCGTGCATTGACTTGAAAACTATAAAAATATTTCATAAAATGTTTAGTCTTCGTTCGAGCAACACGCGATTGTTTCCTACAAGTATCGTTTTCTTGGATAACCTAGGTTTTGTAATAAGATAAAACAACTCAATTTGCAGTAAAACAAATATGTAAATTCAAATAATACATTTAGTCAACAATAATATTTTATGCAGCGTTCGTTAAATAGCAATACAGTTATAGATTTTGCGACGAATAAGAAAATATATAATCCAGTATAACTGTAATAAATTCATGCATAGGAAATCTCGTCAAAGCAATCATTTCCCCTTTACGTGACACAACCAAAACGGATTTCATATAGTGATGTTGCCTATTGTATCATTTAGGGTATGCAAAAACCTTCGATAGCAAGTTCAATTTAATTATAATGCGATTTGTATGATTTAATAAATTCAACGATGGCCTTAACCACAGTAAGATAAGATATTATGAACACGACATAAAGTAACTAATAATAACATATATTTCTATTTGGTGACAAAGTATTAATAAATAATCTATAGTGCAGAACGCTCATGAAGTTTTAAAAAACTATATTTATACTAATATTCTAAGTCTCAAGAGTATGATTCTTTGGTAAAATGCGATAGTGTGAGCAATTATTCAAATTGAAAAAATCTTTTTGTTTTCGACAGTCGAGCAAGGCTATACAATAACGCTACCACTAATAAAAACGGAGCAAGTTTGAGTGCGTAGAAAAACGGTAGGGAACGATTAGCTATAGTACAATATAATTGTATTTAGTCGTAAAAATACGATAAAACTTTAAACAGTTTTATATTATAAAAATAATATTACTCGTCACGTGGCTGTGGTACAACTAATGTTGCTTGATTGAGATCTTATGAAAGGCCTAAGAACATTGCGGATTTGTATAGTAGAAATCAACAGTTCTATGATAGTTGTTGATATTTAATGTCATAATAACAACGTAAATTTAAACTCCCTAACTAAAATGGATAATGTTATCAACAGTGGCGCCCAGCATGTCATTGAAGTGACATGCGTTTGTACATAATAATAACCACGCCTATTACGTACGTGTTCAAGGCACAACGCTAATTAACACTAATCACGACCGGGTGCCATCTTGATAAAACATTCTGCGTATGTTAGTCTGGTTAGCCCGGTAATATACAGATCAAAGTTGCATAAACAACTCGTTGATGCTTAGGTATCCGCTGGTAAAAAGAAAGTAGTCTATGTATGTAACGTTGTTTTTTATAAAACTAAAGAAAGCGCAGGCTCAAATGACCGTAATTTTCTTTGAATTCTTTTGCGTTTTGCGGTAAGATGTTTTTAAACAATTTTGAAGTTATACGAATTTTATTTCAGTTTTTGTGGTGTACTTTATACATGACATGGTTAAATAACATTTTATTATTCTGGATTACAACATGTGTAAACAAAAAGTATATAAAATATATAGCAACTGTATAAATACTACGCTTTGTTTTCTTGAGAATCATTTGTTTTAAATTATCATGGCTTATGTTTTAATTGTAACCTTTAAATAACATACAAGTTAAACAATAGGGTGTTTCTTAGAGAGATCGAAAAGAAATCATTCAATTTTAAACAAAGCAAAACTTACTGTTTGAATCATGAGTGCCATTTTCAGGTGCTGCAGTAGGTGTGGGTAGTGATGAAGAGATAGTCGTGCTATCATTAGATGTTAATGAGCTCATGTTACTGCTATTGCTGGTTGTAGTACTTGTCATAGCAGTATCTCGTCGGATTCTCTCATTTTGTAATAAAACTATGTCTCCTCTCTTAATGTTTTGCGTTAAAGGGCTATTTCCTACATCATATTTAGTTTGTTCTGGAAGAAACAAAATGTGATATTAAAGTTTGACAAACACAAATAAAAATAGTCATGCATACAAAAAAACCAAGACAAATGTTTCTTAAATTTTTCTCAGTTCATTGTGAAAATCACAAGCATTTTTATCCTATAATGTAAATTATCCTCTAATAAAAACCATGAATACTATTTTTTATTGTAACAATGTTAAAGGTAGGATATTATCAGTAATAATTAGTAAATGTATACAGAAACATGCACAACAAATACAATTCATTGATCTTTAAAGATAGCTCAAATTATAAATATTCAGAAGTAATTTGAATTATTATAACTCATTATTCTAAGGCACTTATTTGTGAATCTAAAATTAACTGGCAACAATTTGTATAAGTTGAAAGAATTATGACTCATTTAATAGTAGTAATAATAGTCAACTCTTCCTGGACACATATTAAACCATCAATTAAGTCAAATTGTACAGGCAGTCTCATTACTCCCGAGTCTATTTTAGGATGCAACTAAATATAGCAAGATATTAAAGTTCATTAATGCTATTTGCCTTAAACTTTCATGTAAATTATGTTTTTTGACTTAAAACTATAGTATATTATTGCAACTAAGACCAAATTGTTACTAACTCTAACTAAAACTTATTATGGAAATAATGTGAAATTAAGAAGTTATAATTAATATTAAAGTGAAACTATGAAAAAATAATTTGGAAGTTATCTGTAAAGAAAGGCCTCTATAGGTAAGAATCAGACACAAGACTTATAGGGTTGAATCTGACCCCATACATTAAATATGATTTTGACATATGGGAGTTATATTTTAATCTGTTTATTTCTAATTCTTACTTTTGACTTTGCCTTATACCCACTTTAATGCCAACTTAACTTTAGCCTTTTGATATAAAGACCAACTTCTTATAAGGAAAACAATTTCTTAATTAATGTTTCTATTCAATTTCTATAAAAATATTGAAACTTTCCTTATTCTATTGGTAATATTGTATTAACGGCAAATTTATTAATTTACAGTTGTGAGTCATTACAGTAGTGAGTTAATAAAAAAGACAATTAAGATAATAGATAATATGAGCATTCATTACAAAAATATCGAGTTACCTAGAGCTCGGCATATTTTGTTCTATAAGTTTACATTTACATTACCAGAATGTTCTAAATCAAACACTTATGGTCAGATACAATTTGTATAGACAAATTATTATTGGAAATTCACTATATACACGCAAGTGAGAAAACAAATACTTTAGCACATTACATATGTAAATATATATTAACTATAATTTTCTGACTATAAAAAGCAAAACCATTAAAAACAACGCTTTTCGGGTCCCGGTAAAAATATAAAATAACGGGATTTTTTTGCTTAAACATACAGTTACAGTACATACCTGTGACAGCAAAGGTATAGGTAAGCACAAAAACAAAAAGTGTAATAAATCTTCTAGAAGTCTGCACTCGCATCGAATCCATTTTCATGGCGCAAATACGTTGAATCGTGAACGCAAACTTTACTATAATCTAAAACGTCATTTAATTACTAGTTTAATCTTTTTACATCTAATATTTTAATATTGACGTTATCCACGCTGGCGAAAGTGATTGGTGACCGACTGACTGATGTAATGTTAAATTTCGAGTTTCGTTATTCGTATTTCGTAGTTCCAAATTCTGCAGACAATAAATGTTTGGAATTAATTTTGGCAGTTGACAGTGAAACATGGCAATTTAAATGACAGTACATAATTGACAATACGCTAGGACAGCTGCCATTCCGTTATAGGAAATGTCAATAAATAAATGACTTTATCAATTATCATGCTTGAGACAGAAGTGAGTCGTATTTTTTTTCTAGAGCTAGGTCACTTCAGCCAAACGGATTCAAATTTCAAATAGGATTGACATTAGCTGTTAGTTCTCGCTTACTCGTAACTCGTGTGACCATTCTCATACAAATGAGACATACTAAATACTATATTTTAACGGTTTCTTTTGGCCTGAGATTTAACTTAACCGTTTTTGTTTGATTTAAATATAAAAAATCTTTACATTACACTTACTCTACTCTTTAGCATTTTTCATCTATAGGTATTCTTAACTTCAATCTACATAGACGACCTATACTTTTACTAATAACTGTTTTTTAATAATAAATGTGAATCTTCATAATCAAAACGAAATAAAACCCTCAACACTTGAAAAACGATCAAAAGAGTCGTCACCTTAATGTTAACATGTACCTTATCTGAAGTTTTGAAATTATTTACTCTTGTTTCTTGCTATTTGGAATGCCCGGATTATTATTATTTGAATAACAACTTTTATCTATATTATAAATACGACAAATAGATTTTTGTATTTTTTCAATCGTATTTGGTAAAAGATTTTACAATCAATAATATGTAATACAATTAATTTGTAATTCTTGAAATAAGTTTTTTCATTCATTTATAATTGAATAAGACAACAATGTATTCTTGACTACAGTTAGGAAAATTCTTGGTAACACTTAAGGTATGATACAGAAACGCGACCTGAACTATGATTCCCGTACACGTACAATACATTTTTGAAGTATGGGAGTCAGTGTTAACGTCTCGATTTAGCGTCAACTATGGCTGAGCCATAGTGCTAAGTCTCGACGGAATCTTAGTCTGGAGGACAGAAAATCAGTAGTAAAATTAGTAGTAGACAATCAGTGAGGACAGAAAAAAAATATTAGGACTTCTTTTGGCTTACAAAATTCTTTACAATAGCACACTGGTTACAAATTATATGATATCCTTGTTTGACAGTTTATTGATCACACATTGAAGGAAAAAAAATTGAGGACACCGGCATGCTTTAGTCCCAAAAACGACGCTTACTGATAGAAGGCTGATCACCTACTGGCCTATTAAGAAAAAGGGATTACGAAACAGGTTCAGAAATCACAGGCAATGACCAAGGATTGTAGTACTGGTTTTTTTTATTTTCTTATTCATTAAATAATAATAACAAACCCCGTTATTTCCAATTCTTAAAAATGTGTGTTATCTACATTTTTTTTTAAAAAGGTAAAGGTCTCCTCCAGTTTTTTCAAATTTTTCTATACATTTTTTCTCCATTCGCTTTCTGCTAACGCTTTTATATCTTCTATCCCCCTTTTTCTCTATTCATTTAATATTGTATCAAAATTTTCACCTCATAAATAAATAAATTACTTATTTCTTAATTAACTTTAGTTACATAGATATTAGATAAATATAAATAGATATGATAATAACGAACACTAGGCAAAATTTATGCTTTCAGCATTTAGCAAATATGAATCTGTAATTGAATCGAAATACAGTGTTTTTGTTCGGCCTCGGTGGAATATAATAAACACACGTATATACAGTATACACTTCAAACCACAAAGTAATTACACGTACATGATCTAGCCCACTGCTCAGGACGTGATGCTTTTGTTAGATGATTGCAATTTTCGAAATTTAATTAATGAAATGCATAGCATTATGTATTCATCATTATTGTTTTCGGCAAAATTGTTTTTACGGAAAAATGTTTAGTCATTTAGAAAAACTAACCCCCCCCCATATATTTCACGTTAATAAATCCTTAACGCGATGAACGAACTATAATAATGAAGTTTTAATCATAACTACTCATCTGAAACTATCGATTAACGTCTGAATGTTAAAAAATCTGTTTTTTATACACGCTACTTTGTTTTCATTTACTGCCCTTCATATTCGCATTTGCCCTATATCCTTTTAGTATGGGGTCTCTTGCGCCCGCACATAATCGGATGCGCTTTCATGTGCCCGTATCAACAGAATGACGTCGTTCCTTAACGTCATCGAGTGTATAAAGGAAGATTGTAGTTGTGTAGGGTTGGCTTCGGGCGAGCCGCAGCGCACGCCTCCTTGTATCGATCGTGCGCGTCTCAGTGCGCACTTTGCTACATACAGAGCTCGCCAGGGCGTCCACTCTCCCGCTGTAGTCATGCGCGAATCTCCTCCGCCATCGCATCGACCGAAATAAGAGTTGGATTAAACGCGCGATTGTCGCGGTCGAGCTCGGCGGTCTCGGCAGATTTACGTACACGCCCCGCCGCCGCCGCCGCCGGGTCTGGCTCGACATTCCTCCATGTGTGACCGGATTGCCTTGGAAAAATCGATTGGGGAAGGTGCTGCGGGCCGCGGTGTGGCTATGGGCTGGAGCTAATCGTTTCGGCAAGGTGGAGAGGAGTGGCGAATTTGAGAATCACTTACACCCCCGTCTGCGGCACCACCGTTAGTCCTAGAAAGTACCATCAGGTACGTCTTTGGTATTCGCTTTGTACTGGTAGTTGATAATTAAAAAGGAGAGTGAGATATTGCAGTATATCATCCAATTTTGTCAGTGAGATCCGTTTATGTAAGTGCGTCTGTCGATATCTCAAGCAGAAAGAGAAAAGCACATTTAAAGAACGAGACGGACGGTGTCCGTCAATGTGGAACTTGTTACAATAATTAAATATTTCTGCACAAAAAAATTAAGTGGAATTTTTGTAATTTGATTTTTTGAAGTATTGGTTTGTCGACAATAACTATTTTGAACTTGCAAACACGTGAAAATAAATATTTAATCGGATCGGTCACCCATAGAACTGGATGCTTTAAGCTTATAGAACTAAGTTTTTTGATTTGCGGAGCGAACTTTATTTATTGTGCGTTATGCGATTGTCAATTGTTCATTTTAGTCTTAAAGCCTGGTAGAAATCGATCATATATAGCGGACGCCAGGATGGTGGGACATATTAATGTGATGGATTTATAAATACTGATTGAAATTTACCTTTTAACACAGCCATGCGAAAACCTAAACAGAATCATGAATGCGGTTTAAATTGATAGTAAATTGATACGTTAATCAATGAAATTCAGAATGACATTTAAGTTTATTTTTTGTTTATACTTGGACTCTTATTATTGATTTAATTTAAATATACCATGTATTCGGTATTGGTATACCACTGAATTCTTATAAATTATTTAGACATTTGCATAGCTAACCTTCACTCAATAATAAAGTGGGTCAGAAAAGACGTAGGCTGTTTTGTTTAAATCAATACCTATATGTACTCAAATTAAAAGCAAATAATCATTTCGTACATACAACCAAGCTATTTCTACCAAAGCACAAGGTGTTTTTGTTTAAAATACCACATAAATCATATATAGGTCATTGTCAAATTTTGCGCAGGTAACCGAGACTAAAATTAATCTAATATATAAAAATCTCGTGTCACAATGTTCGTTCCCATATTCCTCCGAAACGGCTCGACTGATTCTTATGAAGTTTTTTATACATATTCAGTATAAATTAGTTAAAAGTATAAATTAAAAGTAAATTTTAGGGGTGGGACCACCCCTAAATCTTGATTTTTTACACTTTTTGTTTTTATTTTTATGATACAACATACAAAAATACATACAGCCCTTAATTGTCACCCTTCTACGATCAATCCCTATTTTAAATAGTTATTTTTGTTGAACTAAAAAAATGTTTCCTAGAAATAATATACATGTCAAAACGACGTTTGCCGGGTCAGCTAGTAAAATTACTCTAACACAGTTACATCGATGCCCGTTAAAACAATTGCTCTTTTTGCTGTTGTTGGCCGCGATCTTTAACTAATGATTTGTGATTTATTCCAGATTTTGTGAGTTGAGGCGTAAAAAAATACAACTCTATTATCAAAACGTTATAGTTTTTATTAGGAAATTAAACAAATCAGTCCCAGATATTTTGTCATTAATGTTAAGTACAGTCTTTTATCTTATAATCACAATTACAATCACAAGTTTTTTTTTAAGTTTTACGATTATTTATAAATTCTAAACCCCTCTGTTACTTTTTGAATTTAAATAATATTAAATTCTTTCTCATTACTCCAAATATTTATATATTAACTGAACAATAACATATGACTGTATAAATAGGTAACAAACTACCATTTTGTTATATTAAATTAATTCATTAGCTTTTCATAAAAATCTAATACTAATCTATACTAAGTTGAATAAAAGAATTCATTAAGATATCTAATAAATATGTTTTACCTAACATAAAGGTTCTGAGACTTAGATAAATTTGCCGTGCAGTCACGAAATGTATGCTGTCAGGGTAAAGTTTAGCGAATTGGTATAATACTATGACACAATTCCATGGTCGCCGTACGCCCACCGTCCTTGCACCACTTTCCATTAATGCATAACCTCCACCTGCCAAATGCATATTTCTGCTTTTATTTTTAAGTATTATTAACATTTTTGTAATTTGATATTTCAACCATTTACAAATCTAATCTTATGATTCTGCGGCGGCGAATGCCGCGCCGTAGTGTAGCACTTTTCAACCATTACTAATTGCTTACGGACTAATTATTAATAAATAAAAGATTTGATTTTTAAAATTAATAAAAAATATATTGAAAACTATAATCAGTGCAAGGTGCTTAGGTCTGAGCCCCAGATTTCTGTATAATTTGTCAATCTAATAGGCAAGTAGGTGATCAGCCTCTTGTGCTTGCCACATATCGTCGACTTAAGTTAGAGGCAAGCCGGTGATCGAACCTACGACCTCAGGCATGAGAGTCTCACGCTGAAGCCACTAGGCCAACACTGCTCGAAATTAATTTAATTCATTATAATGAAAACAATCTAAGTATAAATACAACATAGTAAAATTGTCTAACTTTTATACTTAACTTACTTAACTCTTTTCTCTTATTTTATTTGTGTTTTTTGGATTTTTGCCTGCCCCGCTTACATTCCCTTTCGAAAGAGTGTTTTCTTAGCTTATTACTTTGCATATCCTTTAAAGTACCATAGATATAAATAAATTAATCTATTCCAATGAATATGTTTCATTGAAAACGAATAAAAAATCTTTATACTTTTGAGAAACACATTTTGTGTTGGCCTCAGCGGACGACCGGAGTAAGAGAGTCGCACATCCAACGTGGTCGTAGGTTCGATCCCCACCAATGGATTTTCTGTCTATGTGTGCATATAATACTCGCACGTACAAAAAATCACATGTAGATAGAAACTTTATCATCTACTTGTCGATGAAATAAAAATAATCATAGAAATTTATTGTAAATTGGATTTTAGCGCCACTTGATTTTTATTATTAGTAAAATAATAGAAACTAAGATTAGTAGTTTTAAACCGATAAAAATATCATTAACTATCAGTTAAAATAACGAAAATGTTTGTATATTTCACTGCTGTTATTGAATATATGAATTGGATAGGATTGCAGTAATAACTAAAAGCAAGTAAATTCTATTGAAGTTGTGGTCCACAGAGTTAGCTAAGCTTCTATGGACACAAACTGAAGACGTTCTGAAAGACAGGATCTACTAAGAAGCTTATAAACTCATTGTCTTAAAATACATAAAGCATGGCGTCCGTTGTATAGAAATAAATAGAATATGCAGACCGATTATTTAGCCGGTACAATATAGAGTACTGCTAACAGTTTGCAGATCTATTAATACAGCAACCACACCTAGACGATTCAAGTTATTTAAAACGCTATATATGTTAATTTAATCGTTAAAGAGTTCTCTAGCTAGCTTCGAAATTGCATTAGTGACGTAATCTGTACATCACTAGTTATACTTTGATATAGTATGTACTGCTTTTTTAATTCTACGCATAACTACAATGACCTATAAAGATTTGTCGTGCAAATTGTTTACGCGTTTTCTACTTGGAACTTTTCTACGCGATCATATTTAAAAACTTATAAAGTTAGACAATTTTACATTTTTTTTTATAATATAGTCTATGCGTTCGAGCCAGGACTCTTCCAATAGATTATTCTATGTCTGATTAAGATTTACTGGTATGGTGGTGAGGAAAACATCGACAACCTGTATCAACCACAAAACGAAATAATGATAATTAAAGAGATGTCTCCGTACCCCATATACTATTTATTATTATTAGAAGTCAAGAATGTTGGTGAAAAATATTTAAAAAGTGAAAAGAGCAAATATGTGATTAATAAATAGTTTACTTACTTAAATAAAATTATGGTAAACTAATTGAAATTTTGTTAAAAATAAAAGTTAAGACAAACCTATTCCTAAAGAGCGAAGGATATCAAGGTACAAGGTACAGATTACACAATTTTATTTTGGCTATTATTATAGATTTTTTTTTCACACAAAATAAATCCGTTGTAGTAATCAAAACATTCATAGAGTAAAATACCACTAACAAATCTGCTATAATTCTTTTCTGAAGTACTTTAAGCTTTGTGTTCTTTAATTGCACCTCTCTGATTTTACTCAACAAGAAGGACTTGTTTCTCATTGCCGATTCAGAGAAATTTATATTTTAACGTCATAGAAAACTGCAAGCATTGCTGAGATTCATTTGAAATTTAATATAAACAGAATATTTTCCATTTAATTTCCTTTGATGGCTTAAGCAGAAATAAGAATTTCCAAGAATAAAAATAATTGGAATACTTAAAGGAATTTATCTCTAATAAAATTAAGTACTTATATTCTAGGAAGGCTAGTTCAAAAATCATAAATCTAACTTATTTAGGGTATTTATTACTGTAGTAGCTCATGCTTAGAATTTAAAATACATTATTTTGTCAAATATTCGTAATATTTTTTCATATCTACCAACGGAAAAAGAAGAAACTCGACCAAGCTTTTTAATTTAAAAAAAATAAACTTACGGCTTTTTACAAAGTGACGACTATAGATAGCACTGATTTTGTTATCATTCTTTTTCATGACAAAATAAAGGTAACTGCGGTAACACACATACATATATAAATACTTACTACCACGGCGGAATAGCGCTATCGGTCTTCGTTTTATAATAAGACCGACAGTATTTGTTATTCGTTTTTGAATATATTTTTACGATTCTGTTGAGTTCAAAATATAGGTACAACAAGTTTAAGTAACACTCGTATATGTACGTAT